CTTCTCGAGCTGCCTCTCGAATGTCCCCGAGAGCTCTTCGCGACCACGTGACCGCCCCTCGGCCCCCGTCCACCGGTGGCCCCCCTCCAGTATCGTCCGGTCACGTGACAACAGGTCAGCCAGAGTATCATGCCCCAAGGTATCCCTGGCTGGCTGACGCTCGCTCTCGCTCCCTCACTGGGAGCCGGCACCCCACACTGCTCGCGGTGCCTCCGAGCGCTAACCAGCGCTCACCCAACCACCGCTAGTGTTGGTACCGCAGCCCGCAACCCGGGCTGCCCGCAATGACATTACCGGCCGTGACTTCGCAAGTCCCGGCACCACAGTTACAAGTACAGTCACTACACATGTAACCAAGAGCACAATAAAACATGCTTTGGTACTTAAGCGCATGCCTACAAAATCCTAAAAGCATGCTTTCACATTTTTACCTATCATTTTTAGATACAAACATAAAAAGGCAGTTCGTAACATGCTACAGTATGTTTGTGACACCGTTGAGTTCCCTGGGCTTGAGACTGGATTTCAGCCGTCTGCAATTAAACTCAAGAGTAGTGCGTTCATTGCACAATCGTCATGAACGTAAAAAAACAAATTTTCCATTTTATGTTGATAAATTCCAGCTCTGTGAGAATAACAAAAGAAATATCAGTGCTTGACTCATCACGTGACAAAATATGTTCGGCAGGCAGGGTGAGGAAGCACAGCTGTGTCCTTGTGGATCCGAGGTCACTTGAAGACGCTTTCAGAAGCAGTTCTATATTATCGCCTTCTGTGGACCATTCTCTTAGCACGGGGTGATGCAATCCTCTGCGCGAGGAACGAACCCAGCCTTCATCTGGTGTCGTGACCATTTCTCTCGGAGACAGAAACCAGATTTCCAAATAACTACCCAAGATCACACACCAATCCAATAATCCGCGAGGCGATAACAAACCCTACGTGTCGGTGTTTCAAGGTCGGCATAAGTTCCACGTTGGCGGTGATTGATGTTGTGCTGCGAAAGGGCGTCATGAAGAATAACGGAGGTGTGGCAGCAACACCAGAGCAGAACCAACGAGCTGTTTGTTTTTGGGAGGCATTGAGCAAGGGGATAACAATCGTGCGCAATCGGCAACGGGTTCAGTGAATCGCTACAAAGCCGTCCACTGTGGCGAACAAGAGGACACGGTGCAAGAGGACACGCTACGATCGTTCCATAAAACAATGCATCGGCAAAGCTGCGGCGCGCGCATGGGTCAGCACGTTGTACTTTGAACCCGCCAGCTTGAGTTGCATTCCCGGCAACGGCTAAAATCAGTGGACGAGCGACACGTGACCCCGTACTAAAAGGTAAATTATTTAGTGAGTCTTCGTCGAGATACGCAGCACACCACGAGCACAAATAGTTGCAAGTAAAAACCTACGAACAATCGTAATATTCGATAGACTGCCAATTCACAATTGGCCCGCGGTCGTTGAGCGTCTGCAGTGAACGAATGCTACACGGAACACACTTTCATAACCCTGTTGAAGTAATTTTAGTGCTACAGTGGCACGTGTGGTTGGAAGAACAAACGAATGCCCTTGGGGCCAGGTGTATCATTCACGTCGTGGTATGGCAGGTGCAGACGACGAGCAGTTAACCTGGCGGGGCTTTTAAAAAAAGCACGTGGGATGTATTCAGTAGCACAAAAAACATTGCGTCCTTAAACCCTGACACGGCTAATTAGTAAAGTTTGTCACGTAAACTGAACGTGCCAATTCGTAGCTGGTACCACGTCATATTGGTGTGTTGGGAGGCAAGCAACAACATTTACATTCCGAGTAGGACGTTTCACCAGTAATTACAACTGGCTTCACCAGGAGACATCGACATTTACACGATCTAACCCAAAACAAAAAAAAACTGTATTATGGATATTGGTCACGAAAGCCCTACTACGTGTTAAACTAAAACTTTGTATTTGTCCTCGTGCGCCCCCAACATACAGGCGACTTCACCACAACCTGCACAGACCGGCATGGTGAAGTAAAGTCGAAAGTGTTTACGTTGGTGTGTTCAACCTAGAAGATGAACACAAGATTCAGCAGTCTTTTGGAATACGTGTTCAACCAGGTTTAGTGTCTAACTGTGTTGTTGGCCGACTGGGTTGCATCGCATTATATTTCTAAGGTTTGCCGAGTTCGCGTCTCCCATCTTCCTGCTGTATTTGCCTCCGTGCAGTTTGCCGTTCTCGGTGTGCTCTGTGTGTATGATGTCCCTCTGTGTGGTTCACGCCATTTTCACCTGAGGACGAGCGCTTGTTGTTGCGTTCGAAACGTCGTGATCTATTTTAATTTTATTTCTACATCCGTGACTTTACCGAAAGAACCGATGAGTATAGTAATCCCCAACAACCATGGCCAATTTAACACGTAGGTACTCTTTGGTTCTCTTGGGTAAAGTCACGTAGGTGAAAATAAAATAACAAAAAATCACGACGTTTCGGCCACAACACAAGCGGCCTTCATCAGGTGAAGGGACGAGACTGTCTGGAGGACAGCGCTGGAGTGAGAGAAGCCACACTTAGATCACGACCTTTAAGCTGTGTGAGATGAAAACAAAGCGCCTTGACAAAGGAATTAGCATATAATTTAGCATTGAAATGGCTCATTGAAATAGCTAAGTTAAAGTATACACATCCGCAGAGGTACCCCTTGACAAAGGAATTACCATAGAATTTAGCATTGAAATAGCTGAGTGATTAGCTTGTAACTGGTCACAGAAATAGCTATGTTAAAGTCAGAGCATATACATTCACCGAGGCACCTAGTACTAATCAAACAGGAGAATTTAGCGAAACACAACCACGCTCAGACAGCAGACCTTTAAACTGTGTGCGAGCAAACAAGGTGTTCTGACAAAGAAATTAGCATAAAATTAGCATTTGATTGGCCGATTTTAGGAAAGAGGTGGTGTACGTGCCGGTGGACTTGCCGTTGGGCGCGGGGGGAGGGGGGGAGGGGGAGTTTACCTATTGATGGTGTGAAAAGGGAATTTATAAGAGCTGCGAAAGTTTGGGGTACCACTACTTGAAAAAATATACTGTACCATTGAAATTAGTTTAATGTTTAATTCGATTTAGAACATATTTCCAATGGTTGCTTAATTTGAAACCATCTTCTCTGTTGAAATTGTTTCTGTGTTTGTAGATCTGAATTGCTTCATGAACAAATCTCTGATAAAAGCCCGTGGGTTTGCAAAGAACCTTGGTATCGGAGAAAATTATATCGTGATCCCCCACAGCGTTGTAACAGTGATCAGCCACGGCAGAAGAATTCGTTTTGCCGTGTTTCAAATCTGATTTGTGCTTGCCATCTTTCTCCACTTCCATGGTGACCCTACTAATAGCCTAGCGATAAAAACCAAGCTACCATTCTTAGATGTTCTGTTTGAGAGGAGACCTGATGGCTCATTAGGGCATTCTGTCTACAGGAAACCCACCCACACAGATTCCTACTTGAAACCTGATTCCCACCACCACCCAGCCCAAAAGAATTCTCTCATCAAAACTTTATACCATAGGGCTCATTGCATTTCAGACCAACATCACCTGACCAGTGAATTAAAACATGTACACCTGGCCCTCAAAAGGAATGGTTACTCTGACCGTACCATCCGCCAAGCTGTTTCTCCCTCCATACAGAAACAACCACTTGATACTCCGGTCAAAACCATCACACTTCCATATATAGCAGGCGTTACTAAAAAGATGTCCAAAATTCTAAACAAACACAAGATCCAGGTCCGGTTCAATACAGTACACAAAATTCGTGATCTGATCCCATCCGTAAAGGATGTCATTCCTGACTTACAGTACCCCGGGGTTTACAAATTGAGTTGTACTTGCGGTGATTGCTATATCGGGGAGACAAAGCGACATGTCTCTGACCGAATTCGCGTGCACAAATCAGATTTGAAACACGGCAAAACGAATTCTTCTGCCGTGGCTGATCACTGTTACAACGCTGTGGGGGATCACGATATAATTTTCTCCGATACCAAGGTTCTTTGCAAACCCACGGGCTTTTATCAGAGATTTGTTCATGAAGCAATTCAGATCTACAAACACAGACACAATTTCAACCGAGAAGATGGTTTCAAATTAAGCAACCATTGGAAAGATGTTCTAAATCGAACTAAACATTAAACTAATTTCAATGGTACAGTATATTTTTTCAAGTAGTGGTACCCCAAACTTTCGCAGCTCTTATAAATTCCCTTTTCACACCATCAATAGGTAAACTCTACCCCCCCCCCCCCCCGCGCCAAACGGCAAGTCCACCGGCACGTACACCACCTCTTTCCTAAAATCGGCCAATCAAATGCTAATTTTTATGCTAATTTCTTTGTCAGAACACCTTGTTTGCTCGCACACAGTTTAAAGGTCCGCTGTCTGAGCGTGGTTGTGTTTCGCTAAATTCTCCTGTTTGATTAGTACTAGGTGCCTCGGTGAATGTATATGCTGACTTTAACATAGCTATTTCTGTGACCAGTTACAAGCTAATCACTCAGCTATTTCAATGCTAAATTCTATGCTAATTCCTTTGTCAAGGGGTACCTCTGCGTATGTGTATACTTTAAATTAGCTATTTCAATGAGCCATTTCAATGCTAAATTATATGCTAATTCCTTTGTCAAGGCGCTTTGTTTTCATCTCACACAGCTTAAAGGTCGTGATCTGAGCGTGGCTTCTCTCACTCCAGCGCTGTCCTCCAGACAGTCTCGTCCCTTCACCTGATGAAGGCCGCTTGTGTTGTGGCCGAAACGTCGTGATTTTTTGTTATTTTATTTTCACCTACGTGACTTTACCCAATAGAACCAAAGAGTATGGATCCTAGCAGTCACGAAAGCTTTAAATCTAGAATTAACACGTAGGCTTTAACGACCAATATCATCCAAAAAAAACCTCTATTATGAACCATGACCAACAGGGCGCACGGAGGGCATTTATCCGAGGAGTGGACGGACAAAGGGCTGCAAATTATTTAATTTTATTACACTTTACGGAAATGTATGTCGAATATATAAAAAAATACATTAAAACCACTTGAACTCTCATTGACATTAAACAGTCAGTACAGGTATTGGCAAAAACTGCAAAACATTTCGCACCAAGTTGGACAACCAAATTAAAAAAAAAACATACACGGTACTCGAGACCAGTTTGTACATATTGACCGATCAATACCACGCTGCACTCGAAGCGATTCTACGCAGTATTACATTTCGCAAACAATTCCAATTTTAAGTCCGTAAAAAGCATGACTAACCACCCATTCCCTACGCCGCCCCTCCGCATTACTGTACGACCACATAAGGACTTTTGGATTGGCAAACAGGCTGTAATTATATACATTTTTTAACTCGCTTCCTTCACTCGCAGGGCTTACTTACAACAGGGCGTGTATTTACATAAAAACACCCAAGTGAGAACTGCAATACCAAGTGCTGTGTAATGTATTTACATTAAGATGTGGGCCGTATGCTGTCGTGGTGCATCAAACTCGCTACCACTTTTTATCCAGAGATTGCCGGTCTAAGGCATAATCGCCCAAAACGGCAGTTCAAATGAACAATTTTATTAAAATCCCCCCCCCGCTTCCAGACTGCCTGTGAGGGTGTGCTTTTAAAAAGAAAATCGATGGTTTCGCTTGCCATACTTTCCCGAATCGTCCTGCTGAGAACAGTTTCAAGTCGGCAAACACGACGAGGCTTCAAAAAAACCTTTAGTAAAGAGTTGCAGTATGGAAGAGGATTCGGACACCAATTTCATTTTTACCCCAACGTATTTTATTTTATCAATTGACAATTCACAGACGCTACTTAAAACCACAAGCTTTCAGGAAAAGCGGCATCAACCCATACTGGACACTTTCAGCATTAACGAATGATGGAACCAAGGCTTGTGGGGCGACTTGGGAAAAGGGTAACACGCCACTGTTACTGGATTGTCCCGGTCAGGTGTAACGGACGAAAGACGTCGGTCCTCGACTCTAGAGGGCCTCTCGAGTCCCCTGTAGTGGATGCCCCTTTTAATTTTAACAGCAAGCCGTGAGCGAATTGCACCTTCATTTAATTTATACAAACTGAAAAAATATACACGATTGATTTAAAAGTTGAGAAATGTACTTTTTTCAAAATGGAATCTTTGAGACACTAAACGGTGCATAGGTTCAACGTTTGATGCACAAAATGTGCAGCGTATTCTTGATTGCAACCGTTGGTAATTGGAGATTTGTGTCAGGTGTGGCAAATTTGGACTCAAAATGCAAGCATTGTCTTAAATATATTTAATAAAAATATAAAACACTAATTTTCATCCGAGACATCAGCAGCATACAGTTTGAAGGACATATGCATTTCAATCCATCCGACTGCATTTCCCAGTAATATCAAATTAAATAAACAGATCTTATTTAAACACTTTAAATGGGAAAGCGGGAAGTCTTACGTTAACCAAAATATCCATATAGTACGTCGCATATCTGACCATCGCTCACCCACACTGAGCAATGAACAGTCCATAAACCCAATGCCATCATTGTGGATGGTGCGACTGTTATCATCCTCAGATCTTCACAAATCCAACCTCTTCACACAGTCATTCATTCTTATTCTCGCATACAGTCGCTTATTTGGAAAGCAAAGTCGAGTATTTTCTTAAGCAGTTTGTGCTTTATTTTTATCCAATAACCTATCGTGTGTGATCCGTAATTTTCTATAGATACACCTATATCTGACCTTATCAAACATTGGCCTATGACCCAAGTCAAATGTGATAAAGTAGTGTAGGTGTTTTCACCACAAAGGTCAAGAGCTACCCGCAGCAGCGACACGTTTGTGCCAGTTCCGGTTGCCATACGAGGGCCGATCCTCCCATCTCCACAAACGCACGTTCAAATAATTCAGGTCGGGGTGAGACAGGATGCGGTCTTACAAATGTGCCGTGCGATAGGACGCAAGACCCCGTGTTGTTGTGGAGCCGGCGACAGGTGTAGCAACACTGGAGCGCAATTATTGGCACGGAAAAAAAAATTACATCGAAAACAAAGTTGCGCAAGGCCACATTTAGCCTAAGTCGCTCGCAATGTTGCGTGCTTTCAACAGTTCGGCAATTGGCGAAGGAACGCAAGATTATCGATTCTCGGTGGTGCGCGTGGATTCACGGGGTGAACTCTGCCATCCAGCCGAAGTCCGTTCTACCGAGGCGTTTGAGCCGTTTCGCCTCGGACCGACTCAACGTTGGCGCAAGTCCCTCCGTCTCTTCGCAACGAAGTTCGTCATTTTGTGGAGGGCGCGACGCGGGTTCATCATTCTCTACATCAGAGTCAGCCTCTTTATTAACTCCATCGGTTTCCATCTTCTCCTCATCCAGAAGCTCGCTGAAGAAATTCCAAATGAAAAAAAAAATTTCACACGTTATTATGATAATATTCAGTGCAATCTTCTTTACTGCTATTGAGTTAAGGAAGCATAATGGTATGAACAGTTTCAAACTGCCTGCAAACAAATATTATTATTTAACATATGGGTTATCTTTCCAGGCACTCCGGTTTCCTCTCACACGTAAATACTAATGAAGTGCATAAACTATTACTATTATTTAGTTAAAGTACAGTTATGCACCATCTTTCGGCATTCATTCAACTCACGAAGATAATTCTATTTGGATTTTTTTTATTTACCCAGGAATCCAATGACTGTTTTTTTTTTCTTCAGGAGGGTGGGTCCCTATGTTGACAGGGTTTTCATAATCAGATGTTTTCAGCCAACGAATGAGCGTTGAAACGCGTGGGAGGTTAAACCGGAGGCACCCGGAGGAAACGCACGGCAGTGATTCCCACGGTAGTGTGTGGCACAAGCTACGGAGAAGACATGCTAAAGGTACCTTTTCTCTTTCTTGGAGATCAGCAGGGAGGTGACAAAGAGGTTGCAAAGGACGGAGGCAGGCGGCAGCACATGCGCTGGGGTACTCAACATCTGAAAGAGCAGGCCGTGGACAACCAAAGTCGAAGATGAACAGTGCAATTTTGATGCGGTTGTTGCTTAAAGCATCGTTGTTGTCTTCGTTGCTGTGCAACTTGTGAGTAAACAATGTTGCTCATAGCTTCGCAACAGACAACTTTGTTCAAACCACGTTCAAATGTTGGTTCGTTGCACTTGCAACACACGCATGCGCTCCGATCAGCTGGGTGGGATCGGTTGGTCATCGTGGGAATACTAAATGCAACATGGCGTATATTTTTTCCATGCAATTAAAATCTCTAGACGTTAAAGAAACTAAAGATTTTTTTTTATAAAGGCAAGTCACCAACACAAACTGATCAAAGTGGTCAAGTGCGGTAAATTAACCCACCCCATAATCCGCACGGCATGGGCAGGCCCTCATCCAGCAGTGGATCGACAACAATGTACGTGTAAAACAGGTAAGTAGCTAGTTTCACAGCATGTTATGATACTCTTTTAAAACATATGGTTGCTGAGGTTTTTTTTTTCAGATAACAAGCAGGTGCCTTTTCTTTGCCTACATTTCCTGCCCTGTTCCCCCGGGGCAGATGGGAGGTAAAAGGATGGACCTCCAAGCCTCTGTGTTATTATAATACAATGGGTGAGTAATTAACCAAAGTTAAAGGCGCAGCCCTGCAATTTGCTTTGCTCGCACCACCGCTGGAAGAAGGGCCTCCATTCGAAGGAGTTCCAGAGAGCTTTCTCAAGGGTATTTTCACCCACTCTTCCAGACTGGTCAGTAATGTCTTAGAAAAGAGAGACATTAGAGTACCCAAACTTTACCCCATCGCACGCGACCTTACACTAATCAACTGACAGTGGTGAACCCATTTACACCGCTGGGTGAACAAAGCCAGAGAGGATTTTAAAAAAACTCCCCCCCCCCCCCACCATTGTTTCGACCGTCGCGCCGGGAGATCGAATTGAACCCGTGACCTCTGGACAGCAAGACGGCAAGTCTGGTGCGCTAACCCATTACACCAGTGGCAGCATTTCCCCCCCCACCCGCCCAAGTCACCCATGCATGCGGCTGTGTTGCAAAACAGCATCAGCGGTATACGCAATGGTTTAACAATAGGATGGTTGCGCAACATTTGAAGACTCCAAGAGAGCTACGCTTGAGGTATGCAGCCCCATTCAGCTTCTTTCTTCTCCCGCCGCCTGCGTGGCGTGCCCACACACGGAGCGCTCCTCGAGTGTCAGGCATCCGAGTGCCCTCGCCACGCATCTCCGTGAACAACTTTGGCAAAAGCACGTCACCGTGCCCTCCGACTTTCCTTGAAGAGTATTTTGTTGTGGTTGATAATTTATGCAAGTATGTATGTGTAGTGACATCGCGGGGTATCAACGTGCAGTGCCAACCCTACGGGACAGGGCGTGTGAGCGCCGGCCGAAGGATGAGGTTACTCAAGGACATGGAACTCTGGTTGACCCGGGAGGACACGTGACCGGTCAAGTCTACAAAGGGGGCCCCAAAGTGGTGGCAAGGGGTGGTCACGTGGTTAGCATCCAGATCCTTCCTGAGGATTCTGGAAGGTGGTCGTGGCCAAGGGCGGGGGCCGGCCACGCCGCAGAGAATATAAGCCGGGTCCCGAGAAGGACCAGGGTCGTCGTTGTTGTTCATCCTGGAAGAAACCTTCGTCCACATTCTCCGTTCAACGAGTCTCCAACACGTGGACCTGGACCCAAGCTGTTGGTCCCAATCCGTAGTAGCTAGTTGTTATTCTGTTATGGGGACGTTACCCCGTGTGTTGGAGTTGAATAAATGTGTTGCCTCAGTTGAACCCATTACATATGTATGTATGTATGTTTGCGAGTGGAAACAAAGGACGAAATCTGCAGTGGACACCTCCGCAGTGCTCCATCACCGTAGGCCACGAGAGCAGCAGCATAGGCCCACCCCCCCCCCCCCCCACCACCAGGCTGGCGACAACAACATGGGCAGACCTTAATACGGTCAGCGAACAGGATCATGGCCTGCCGCCGCTGCCAATCAATGACGACCACAATCCCGCCTCCCCGACCCTGCCCCCCCCCCCCCCCCCCCACCACCACCTACCTCCCGGACGGTGAGCGAGCCTGAGAGAGCAGCGGCAGCCTTGTTGTCCCTCTCCACAACGGCGTCCCTGAACGCACCGAGTTCCGCGTCGTTTGTGGTGGCAGCACCATCCTCTCCCTGCTGCTGCCGCCGGTGGTGTTGCAGCAGCATGGAGAACGGAGTGGCTGGGATGTTCTCCGCCAGCACCAACTGGCAGGCCCGAGAGAGAGAGACGGATGTATTAGTATGTAACCAAGTAAATAAGGAGCACAAGTCACCTTTCATCAGAATCTTTATTAACACTGGAGGAATCCGTTGAGCTTTAAAGCTCTTTTTCAGAGGTGTCCAGTAGATGTCCAATTATTATTCATAATAACGATGACACTGGGTTTTTATACAATAGGGTAATTTATCCAACTACGTAACACAACGCGCCGTCGGCAAACACAGAGGTGCGGAAGTTAACACTTTCCCAGCCAATGACTTCTGAAAGGAGATCGCTTGCGCAACAAGTTACGTCTTTTGATTATTTGATGCATCATTACACCCTGTATTATATAAGCAACCTCCATATATCTCAGAATTCATTACGTGGGTTGGCACCACGCGAACGCAATGAAAAATGCGTGTCGCCACACCCTCCCAGCACCGGCGTGATCAGACCCAATAAATGACACACCGGTCACAACAACGATTGCGAAAAGGCATCCGTCTAGAATTAAACCGTCCGTGGATTTCATGTCACGTTAATCTATTCCACGTGATGTTCACTCTGTAAATAAGACTGCAAGAATAACACTCGGATTAAATCGGGACGAAGTTTTTGAGTGTGCGCGTAAAACACATCACCAGTGTGTCCTCCCAAAGGGCGAAACGGGTCGCATCGATTTTTTTATCAATCCAGATTACACTGGGAATTCACCTGAAAAGACCGCTTACAAGAACATTGGGATTGTTAACAGAACCCTCCAATCCTGGAATCACGCTCTATCAAAACTAAGTTTGTGCAAAGGGTGTCTACAATGTGTCATACGCGTGATATAGTCAGTCCTTCTGCCAATTCACCGCAAAGGCCTTCCTTACACCATGTGCGTTGCCTGCCAAGAGGATTATTTGGGCCCCATACTTCACCGTGCCGGTCAGGGAATGTTCGTGATGAGGGAGGGGTGGCTGCCCAGGACCGGTTCAGAGCTCGCTCACCCACTGGCATTAGTCACGGCTGGAAATTAATTCGGCAGGCCGATTGACGCAGGGACACCACGCAGATTGTAGCTCAACAGGTGTGTGACTGCTCCCCCAACTGTTTGACTAAATTATTATAATTACAGATAGTGGTGGTTCTAGAACCTATTAAGGCAAAGGGCGATCCTGACATTTCAAGGTTATTAAATCGGGCCCTGCCATTCAAGAAACTACCCATTAAAAATGTAACCATTTTTGGTAAATATCAATGAAATATCAATTTTCGGTGTCCTCACCAAGCATGGATAAGAGGTCACTTGCAGTGGAACTACACACACCCACTTTATAGAGCGAATATTTAATTGCACGATTTACAACCCTTTCAACCACATCTGCCCACGGCGCAAATGTCGCCAACATATCTCCCGGCCACAAACAAAAACCCACAACACCTGTTTTTTTGCTGGCAGACTCCCATTAGTTAAGTACCAAAACAGACTCCACCCCCACTTTCAAATTCAAAAGGTCTAATGAAATCTGGCACATTCGGGGTAATTTTAGCCAATTGCCCCTCAGGCCAATGGCTCAAAAAATGGGTAACTGGGACCACCCATGGTGGGGTGATTAATGCTTGCGCCAATTTCTTTTGAGCAATATATTTTGATCGCATATACGCACAGGGGTAGGTGGGGGAGGGGGGAAATGTCACCATGGGTAGCCTTCACACAAAACAGGGGAAATTGTTTTTAGCATAAAAATGTGATACGACACATCTTTGGAATATGTAAAAAAACTGTATATATAAAACAGACATCATATATATGGCCTACGGAGGATACTGCCTGTGGTGGACACTGGTTGCATTTTATCCACCCCAAGGTGGTACCGAAATACCCCCCCCCCCGGCTTGGCTCACAGGCTAGAGGGCAATGCAGAAAATGGAGACACCACAGCAACGGCGAGATACCTGCTTGGTGGTCGGAGTGATGTTAACGTCCAGGTCATCTGCCGTGACCGTCAGAAGTTCCTGTGTGCAGACACATCACAAGGCATCATTACAATGCGCCGCACTAAAAATCGCCACCGAAAACGCAACACGCCCCTGTCCATCAACCTCTGATGATAATACAACAATGCCATTTCCATCGTCGCATTGGGTCGTTTCAGTTCGGCCGTTGAAATCGAGCGGTTGCCACAACAGCCACGAATTTCATGAAACCAGTCACGAGGGGTGGCTACCAAGTGGCTCTCGGGGTCGGAGTGTCGAGCCAGCGTCGGTGAGTACCTGGGTTTGAATCTGGAGTTTAAGCCACCCGTGGATTAAGCCTGGATGCTCAAGTGTTGCGAGCAGCTGCGTCCTCAGCCAGGGTCACACCAAGGACTGCATACAAATATATATCGTGGTAATTTAGGTTCTTTTACTTAATGTCACTTTTTCCAGCTACAAAAATGTAAAGAAAAGATTTCAGTTCGGCTGCCGTGTGACAAACATCTCTCGGTGCCAGAGCGTGTGAAAAAGCGCGGCACCCAAAGTGTGGAAAAGAGGTCATTTGGCGGGGGGAACTCAGAAGTAATTCTGTGATGTCCGCGGGGAAAACAAGTCGCTCTGCGAAAGGTCACTTTGTCACACGAAGCCAACAGGACAACTGGCATACCATTGGGAGAAAAGTGCATCTTTTTTTTTTTACACTTTCCAACTAACGTTGGAAGCCTTTATGGATTAGCTCTGTTCCACCCGTCTGTCAGTCCATCACAGGGTGGGGTGAGCAGGTGGAGGATCGCTATAGCTTTCATAACGATGATCCAAATGTTCACAAAACGTGGGTAATAGTGTTGCTCTTCAGGAATTACCAAGTTTTTCCACTCATGGTTTACGCCCCCGACCCCCACACCCCGCCCCCTCCAGCAACGAAAAATGATAGGAGTTGTTAGTAAGTAAGGACTTGTCCCTTGCTTTGTATTCGACGCGTGTGCAGCGATGGCGCAGCCATCGATCGAGGGTCGAATTCGAACCGCGTTGTGTGATCGGCATCGCGCTCGCTGAAGGTGTTGATGCCTTCAGGGAAGTCGTGTACTGTATACACAACTGCGCACAATTCTGTGAGTCACTTATAACCGCTTTGCCGTTACTTATTGACTCAGACTATTGTCCTATCATCTCATAGCGTCCCTGGCACGTAATAATATGCTACACAGTGGCAGTGGGAGTAGCAAAATGCCGATTTATTACTAATAAACCCCAATGATCCGATCGAAATTAGGGATTTCGATCGGATCATTGGGGGGGCACGTGAAACCCCACATCCTCCCCCCACTGGCTCCGCCAGTGGTTGTAAGCGTCCTTAATTACAGAGCCTATTGTTGAGAATTTCGCAAGGGTTGGGCCGTTCTTTTCTTTTAGTAAAAAAGAGGGGCGAGAGGGGGGCTAAAATGTGGGAGAGCAAAGAGCTGCGCGTGTGTCAGCATGTTACTACGACCATATGCAGCTGCCTATCTTCCTCGAAGCGTAAACACCCCCCCCCCCTTACCCGCTAATTAAATACTTGTGAAGACAAAACGCACAGTGGAGTAAATGATTCCGTAACTCACGCACACGCCCATAATATTTCCCTCCCCATCACTTTCTTTTATTGAACCCATCGCACTTCCGGACGGTCGGAGGCGAGATGACACTCGGCCGGGGGTGCGGCATGCAGGTTGTCCCCTCTGGGCTAAAGAGTCTCCCTGCTATATGTATGTACGTACATCAAACTTCTTTCGCGCTCTATGTTACCAACCACGCTATTCGGAGGTGTGGGAAGGATAAGAAACTAAACACACGCATATATATACACACATTCCTGGAGGGAAGGGCAGGGGAGGGGGGTACATTATCTGGATAATGTGCGGGGGGGGGGGGGGGGGGCGAAGACTGAGAGAAAATAAAACGCACCAGGGACTTGTTTAAATGAAATGCGTGCGGACGAACGTCACAAGCGTTTACAGCTTCACCGCGACCAGAACAACTCACGTGGTTGGTGTTGAGGAAGTAGAGCTGCGAGCGGGCGAGCCATCGTGTCGAGTCGGCCGAAACGGCGGCCGCTCGCTCCCGCGGCACGAACACGGCGGAGGAGATGAGCTGGGGGCACACGCCACGCTGCGCCAGCACTGGCCGAGCCTCGCTGGGCCGGAACACGAACACTGCGAGGGGCGGCCAGGAAAGAACGCTCGATGACAGGCCTCCCTCCACAACCTCCAGTGTGATGAAGTTTAATCAAACGACCACCAGTAGTGACAGGCAGCCTGGAGTGCCCTTCAACCAGCAGTGAATTGCAAAGGGGCTGCAATTGACGAGGTATGGGGGAATTCACCCACCACCACCCTCCATGACGCTTAAGATTAATTGTCACGATTTTGGGGTCACGACCTTATTCAAGAATCCCGTGATTTTTTTTTGTTTACAATTGTGGGGCGTGTAAAAAAAAAATCTCTCGAGTGGCTGCAAGCGATCTCGTTAACCGGTCAATCGGACGCACGGCGATGGCTACGCATGCGGCCAGTCACCCGGCACTGTGGAGTCGAGAAGAGGGTTGGTGGATCACGGCGCAAATGTTGTGCAACTCTCTTCCCGTGGGCATCGAGGTGTCCCGTACCCTGGCTCTCCGGAAGGCAGGACAGCAAAGCGCAGACTAATATCTTTCCCTTCTCTACGGCATAGTGTTGCCCCACTGCATTCTTGGGTTTTCTCCGGGTGCTCCAGTTTACGCCCACATGTATAGAAGGGCTGCAGTGCTCGGGGGAATTGTTGGTAGCACCGGCTTAACACCTGGCTGCTGCCTTCCGACTTGCCTCGGGTTCGTCAGCGATTGCGAGATGCAATTTGGATGAATAACGCTCTATAAAACTACATGTTATATGCTATGCACAACATAAAAAATTGATTTTCAGAATACAATTTGAAACCTGCATCTTTAAGAGTACGATCCGATTTCAACGGACTCGTTACAATGTCGCAATGTCCAGGACTTAACAAAAACAACTTCAATGCAATACATCTGCACAGCGGGTATGGCCAGAATGTTAGACAGAGGTCACGGCCAACCTAGGGTTTTCGTATTGATTCCAGAGAGACGCGAGTGGTATTATTCTACGATCACAAAATGCGCCGCGAGGCCTTGTGAAAGATTGCTCGGCACATTTTGCCGACACTCGATGGCGATTGCCGTCAAGTTGAAAGACCCCGACACACGGCGCTCGACTTTTGAGCGGTAATCCCACACAATCGTCTTGATGAAAATCACCCGCATTGGGGGCGTTGCCCCGTCACCAAATCGGCCTCTCGGCGTGTCGAGCTGCGTCTGCGACGAGCGACGCCGAATCAATCACAGTGCTCGTCGCAATCAGCGCTTCGTCAATCTCGCACGTCCACGGAGCCGTCGATGCTGCCGCCGCTACCACTCCTGCCGCTGCCGCTACCACTCCTGCCGCTGTCGCTACCACTCCTGCCGCTGCCGCTACCACTCCTGCCGCTGTCGCTACCACCGATGCCGTTTCTGTAGTGCGTGGCACGAGCTCTCTCTCGAGCTGCACCCGTGAAAAAAACGCCGGAATCGATGAAGGGGAGGCGGGGGGGGGGTTAACAATGAACGCACAGACAAGGGTGGCCCCAAAAGTGCCTTATGGCATAACGTCCTGACGTTTCGCTTGGAGAGAGTTGGGCACAGCACAACCGCGGAAACCCACACAAAAGTTGGCGAAAAAGTTAGTTTTCAGAGATAGGTGCGCATTTTTATTATGTGGCTTATTTACGTAAATGATCACCATAATTATTTAATTACATCGACACATGAACTAACTATGGAGAGTACAGTACTGGTGATGGCAGAACTCTGCCGGCTGATATGCGGCACTGCTTATGACAAAAATCACCCAGAATGCATTCAACCCCGCGAGATGTCAGGAGCTAAGCAGGCTCGAGTGTGGACATTAAACCCAGTCGCACCTCGGAAGCCAAGCGGGGTTGAGCCTGGATAATCAACCCCCGTCACACTGGTTGTTCCGGGTTTGAGTCGCGGCGTTGACCCATGCTGAGACTAGAGGGTGGGTCTCCAATATCCCCCCCCCCTTCGCACCGCCTACAACTAGGGCCAGCGGTGAAGCTCAAATCCAGGAGTGGATTGACGCGACGTCGGCTCGCTGGTTACCAAACTGCTGACCTCGCCGGGCCCCCGGGTGCCGTGGCCTCAGGTAAATCCTTTTGGGGATCACGCCGAGTGGTGGAACCAGCTCGTCATAAGTACACGTCTCATCATCGGCCACGCACCAGGGCAACTTCTCCTCAATTCCCCACAACTTATTATTTGCCTGCAATTTTTCAACTGACTGCACATCCATATTTGCCCGCAATTTCCCAATTGCGTGTATTTTCTCAATTGTGTGTATTTTCTCAATTGCCCGCAATTTCTAATCTGCCTGCAATTTATCATCTGTCCGCAATTTACTCTGTATGTGTCCCATAACACCCTGGGGACACGCTTGCAAAGAGGACGTTCCATCTCAAAACGGACTGTCGAGATAAAATACTTGATATGAAAATAAAAACAGGCAGTCTGTGGTTTACGACCGTCTGGTTAACGACGACGTTTACATAATGGCCACCATGGATCTTTCATCGGTGTAAAAACTTTATTTGCAGCTTCCGGTAAGACTCCGAACGCATTTGAACAGCTTGGCGTGGAACTTTTGTTATTTGAGTGTTTTTGTGGATGTTCACCTTCTAAACCCTATTAAATACGGCTGAAAAAAGGAAAAAACACATCCGTAAGTGATGTTTATACTGTTTCTACCATCTACAGTAAACCCTTGTTAATTCGACACAAAGGGGGCTCTGGCCTTGCCTAATTATCCAATATTACGAATTATGTACAATGGTACTCCCCAGCGCCTCCTGCCCAAATATATTTTGGCTTCCAAATGTTTTCCAAAAATTATTTTACAAAAAAGGCAACACTTACCATCAGCAACCAGCACTGCAGGCAAAGGATGAGGATGTGTGGTAGGTTCCGTGTGGTAGGTGACAGAAGTTGTGGAGGGGGGGGGCTTAATGCACTTACTGTACTGTATGCCAGTGCATGCTAAGTGCCCATGACGAATAACTAATATATATATGCCGAAAGCGCAGCCGTGCCGAATTATCCCAAATCACGAATTATCAAATACCGCAATAACGAGGTTTTACTGTAAGGGGAAACGAGGGTCCGATTTACAATGGGGTTTCCAGGAACCCACTGTGCAGGACCGCCTGTATAAACAATTCCTGACGGTGACATTAACTCACGTCTGAGTAAATAAAGCACTGCGCGCATTAAAAGGCGGATTTGATGGGTCGATTCATCTTCATATTCTTAGGCTGATGGTAACCGCATCGATTCGCGATGTGTGTTCAAATCAGTATGTGGCGTATGCAAATTGTTCAAATCAAACCCAGAAGCCAGTGGAGGAACAACCATTCAATTTGTATTTTGTATGTAAATGTGATCCCATGTCGCCTGCAGCCACTAGAGGTATTTGCCATTTGCCTTCACCAATAAATAAACCGATTCTTGAATCGAATTCTGAACCATGAATCGCGACAAATCATATAATTTCCAGGAGGGTGAATTGTTCCACCTCTGTTACCACACATTAACTCAAATCGGCACCTCGTTAAGAAGCTCATTGACCAATATTTTTTTATTTTCCAAAAGAAACCCTTACTGCGGAAAAGTTAATTTACAGAAGGTAACCGAATGCCCGCACTGAAATATATATTTTTTGAAATATCAAACAATCCTGAAACTTTGCCTCTATTTCATATTCGAAATTCTAGAAAACTTTTAACTTCCATTCAATTTAATCTGAACGGTTTAAAAACACGAATCCCCGCCCCCCACCCGCACACGGAATAATTTCACATGCTATGCGTGAAATTTCCATTTGCTATGTGACCCTGGGAGGAAAGATCAGCCAGCGCGACGAGCGAGCACGATCCTGGGATGGAATGCGGGCGCCAGGCTGCCTCCAATTAAAACGCGTTCTTAAACCCGCAAACTTGAGGACCTCGGAATGCTCACGAACTGGTTTAAAAAAAATGTGGCTCCAATTTCCAGTTCTGAGAATGAAAATATCGCTGTGACCGTCATCACGTGACGAACTCCACCCCCTAACATGCAAAGTGGGTAGGAAAGTGCTGCCCTCTACTCCGTGTGTGTGTACCAGAGGTCACTTTGAGGAAGCTCTGTAACATCCGCTTTCCGTGTACCATTGTCGGACACGAATAAGGGTCGCAACCGAACTGTTCAGAAATTTTTCAAACAGATTCTGCCCCGTGACGTGCCACCGACAACATAATTGGGATACAATCGGGGGGCCAAGGCACTTTATAGGGGGAAAAAAAAACCGAGCCTAAAAATCGTTTACGTACGGTCTGTGGTGGGCGAGGGCGTGGTGAAGACCGCCACGTGATCCGACAGAGGATTGGCGACGAGGACGGCCACAGACAGCTGCACACTCCACTCCACTGCAGGGCCACACGCAAAGATACACCGAGAGCAAACATGATAAGGAATCTCCCCCCCCACCCCCCCATATAGCCTTAACAGACTGTTGGGGCGAGTGCTTAGCGAGTTGCACCTACGAAGGCCTGCACGACACACAAGGGGGGGGGGGGGGTGGCCAGTACCACGCTCGGCCGCCTTTGTCTCCAAAGTGGCGGTGTTTCACACAACGCGGCGCGAGGTAGTCATGAGGCCGAGTCGATCTAGGGGAGGCCCAGGACCGTTTTAGATGATCGTCACTGGTGTTGGTCGCGAGCAAGAGCCGAACTCGGGTCACTGGGTTTGTAAGGGGCCATCCATTTAGTACGTACGCATGGAGGGGCGAGGGGGGGGTTAACCGAAATGCAAACGCTTGTATATGGGGGCTCTACTGACAATGTACATATGCATAGCAAACGGGTGGGGGTGAAGCCTTGATAATAATTTGTCTAAATTGGCCTTCAAATTAGTTAGATGGTCCGGTGTTAAGACTGTTTGCTTAAATACATTAATGTTAGTAATCCTTGATCGTTTCTGCGTGGATTAAATATCGGCAGTTCCATAGGATTCGGGAGGGGGGGGGGGGTCACAGGGAGGGGGGCAGGGGTCAATATGACAGATTTTTGCGTACGTACTAAATAGATGGCCCCTAACCGCACTCGTACACACGCGGTGGTTTGCACGCTGCGCTGTGAACCCTGCGGTCCGAGTTCAATTCCCAGCCACGGCTAACTTCAGCGGTAAGCGATCTGTGATGCGGTCATGGATTTTGCACCCCCCCCCCCAACATCAACCCTATCTGACAAAAATGGTGAAGTATGGTCAAACAACAACAAGAGCCAATATGGCATGCAGAGGCCTTTATGCAATTGAACTCTACGGCAGGACCCCGGGGTCCCGAATAAACGGAAGTAAAAAAATCGTCATTAATTTATTTATTTTTGGCGACTCCGTCCCACCGCGCACATAAACGCCGCGACCCACCAGAAATCAATCCTCGCGTTCTTCACCAAGCACCCGGGTCGTTGCCAAAATTGCCGTAGTCATAAACAAAACTTTGATTAGCGCATCGTGTAGAGCTCGTCGGGAGGAATAGATTACCGTGTCGTTCGCCTTCAACAGACGTAAAATGACGTCGCAACGCAGTTTATGCGAGAGCCAGGGGCTTATGAGACCCTGGGGTCCCGCCATAAGGTTCAATAGTGCATTGAGGAAGGTCTGCAAATGACTATAGACGTGTTTTATATATTTAAAAATATAATGTCACTTTTTAAAACAGGCCAACAATTTTTTTAGCCAAGTCAACAAAGAAAATCGCATTCATTCGGTGACAACTGATGTTAACGACCTCGCCTGGTTTTCAGGAGGTTGTGGGTTCAATCCCAACCCTGATGCCTGTATAATTGGAGTTGGCATACTCTCCCTGTGGTCGTGTGGATTTCTGTCTGGGTCCTCCAGTTTTTTCCCTCCACATTTAGAATCAACGTGCATTTATTTAAGAGTATTTGGCCGCTATACAATTCCACGTGATAAGCCACTTTGTTGAGTCACCAAATGCCGTCAGGTCGTTTAAGAAAAAGAGCAACAGAGCTCAAGTGGCCCTTACCCGGTAAAATAAATAAAACATTTACAGTTTAGTTTACCCGATTAATTCCTGCCTGGCATGCGTGGCTCGGCCTCAGTTAAATCCTTTAAAAGTGGTATCATCCCGACAGAAGCCGGTCATGAGTACACATCTCATCACTGGCCAGCCAAGCGTGGCGGTACACAGAGGGGGGGGGGTGGGGACGGGTGGAAGGTGGGGTTCAGAGCTTACACCAACAGCTGAGCAGGTTCCACACGTGCAGGAAGCCGGTGTCGGTCGCCCCCACCAAGTACTTGCAGGAGTTCTTGTTGCCGAAGCAAAGTTGCCTGAAGGTAAAATATAAAATCAGAATCTACATTTATCCTGGGGGAGGAATCAAACGCCATACAAAACTAAAATGAAGAGCTTCCTGGGAGTCGGACTCGGCCCTCTTTGTGCGGAAGTCAACAGTGGTTTTTTTCCTATGAAGAGTCTTGCCGCCCCTGACATAGGAATTTCCATCACTGGCTTAGGGCTATAATGAGGAGATGAGCGTACATGTTCTGTGTGTATGTTTGGATATATATGTGTAAGAGACTCACCCTGGACAATGAATTGCCCTCAATGGGGACTTCCCAGACCAATCATCGCCCTCTACTGGTAGACTAAATTAACCAACTATGTGTCTCCGTGTCTGTGTTTTGTCTCTCTCAAATTTAGTTCTACCTGATGACGATTGCTTTGTGTTGCAATCGAAACGTCGTATTGTTATTTAATTTATTTTCTTTCTACGTGACTTTACCGAAAGAACCAAAGAGTAATTCCTGCGAGTCATGAAAGCTTCAAATCAAGTTTAAACTATTCTGAATTGACCAGGTAAGGTCCACTCAGCTATATAGCTCTTTCAAAAGTGACCTGGCCACAAATGATAGCTCAGCGAAGTGGCTTATTATCACGTGGAAATTTACATCAGCCAAATAGTCGAAACACATGTTAATTCTAAATGCGGAGGGAAAAGCCGGAGGAGCCGGAGAAAAATCCACACGACCCACAGGGAGAGTATGCAAACTCCAAGTATACAGGCGTAAGCGTCAGGATCAAACCCACGACCTCCTGCATACCAGGCGAGGTAGTTAACGTCTCGCCACCGCGGCGCTCTAGGCCGCTATCGAATGCCACCCCAGGTCGCTCTTAAAAACGAGACTACATCCCTGGCCCTCACGAGTTGGCACGCGGCTGAACCAAACGTCAACGCCCCTACCGAACGTGACCCCCCCACCCTCCTTCCCCCACGCTGCAGGTGATGCGAGGCGCATCGCGTACCGGATGCCCCCTGGCGGCTGGCAGAAGGTCGCCCGCATCTCCCAGCACTCGGGCTCCCACAGCGTGACCACGGAGCCGAAGGCGACGGCCAGCACGGAGCCGTCCTCCGAGAAGCAGCACGTGGTGGCCGGAAGCTTCCGGAAGGAGCCCACGAAGTCGCAGCTCCAGGTCACTCCCCCTCCCTCCCCCTCCTCCTCCCCCCCTTCCCCCTTAAGCCCCTCCTCTAATGAACACACACGCGTGCGCGCCGACACACGGACGGACGGTGCAGGTCAGTGTGGATGCTGGAGATTTACGAGCGGTTTAGATAGTTACTTGCCAATGATGTTAGCCGTAGCGGGGGAATCAAACACGGGCCACTGGGTTCATGACCATGCTCAGCAAAGTGCGGGTTTTAGGTATGCGTGGTGCTGGCTACCCGTCTGTTCTCACGTGTGCCGTACCGACCTTTATTAGGTGCTCTCTAACCTAACAGCGCTTGTTAAGGATATACAACAGGGGTTCTTTGTCTTCATGTATACACAGGCAGTCCCCGGGTCACGGAAGCGTTCCTGAGATCGAGCCGTAATCCTAATTCTCCATATGTCAGAAATTAAAAAATTTTCCCCCAAAATCAACGATAAAATCCCATGGCGTTTCCCCTACCCGATGATTAAATTCGGTTTCACTAAGTACCGTATCGCGCTGCCGTCCGTCTTTCATCGCTACCTGTAGTGTAACGCTGTAACACATGCTCTGCACTTGCTACAATTCTTTCATTTAAATCGAATTACTACCCCAACACTAATCATAATTAAACTAACGGAACATATGCTGTATCCAATTGTTTATGAATACCACGAAACATTTTAATGTTAATTGCTAACAGAAAGCAGTCACTTCGCGAATCTTTGTTTACCAGGCATTAGGCTAAGGCCTGGGACTTTTCCGATCGCTGTTGGCTGAGACCATAAGCAATGGAAGTACATACGGTAAACAACTCATTAAATAAACTTAGAATAAAAAAAACTAGCAATAGAAACATGGGGAGAATAAGATAGGTCTACGTATAGAAAACAATTACGTAAAGCTACAAAAGGAAAATAATTACATAACGCTAGGAAAAATTCCATTCACCTTAATCCGAGTGAACTTTTCAGTCCTATTTGGGTCCCAGAAAAAAAAACTTCCCGTGCCACCTCGCTGCTCATCTCACCTCGTCAGGGCAAGACACAAGCAAACAGGCGCCTGGGGCCAGGCGCGGGCCCTGTTACCTGCGGCCTCTGGGTCCCGCGCGAGCGTCCACACTTTGAAGCGTCCGTCGAGCGAGCAGGTGACGAGGGTAGACTCCGTCTCCCGTCCCGGCGGTTGCCGGCGGAAGCAGACGGCGGTGATGTCGAGGTCGTGCGGGGCCGCCACCGTCGTGTTCAGAACGAAACTGCGAGCGCACCAGAGGTAGCGCAAGCAAAGCAAAAGCCCCAAAAAATAATCAGGGGAAACTCGCGACTCCCGAGCCAATGCGGTGGCGGCCCTCGCGGGAGGGGGTTTTGGCTTCCCACCGTGACGAGCTGGAACCAAACCACGATTTCCAGGGCTCACGACACGCCTCTATCTGGCTCGGGGCCCGAGATGACATCTGACGAGCCTCGTTGTGCGGCTCTTGAGAGGTCAACGCTCCGATTACCTCGAATTAAAAGACTTCGGATGTTGGAGAGCGTGATAGAATCTATGCGCGTGCAAGCTTTTTCTCCCCTGCTTCGTTGGTGCCGTGCATAAAGGGAGCGTCGTTGTCGGGGGCGGGCAGGGACAGAGGTTGGCAGGAAGGTAGGGAGGGAGGGAGTGAGGGAGTGGAGCAAGGGGGCAGAGATGAATGCCTCGAAGAGAATCCATGCGTATGTACAATTTTTCCTCCTGATTTCAGCAATCAGGAGGAGGGGGGTGGGGCGGCTGCATTTGAGGCCTCACCTCTGCTGCTGAACGTCGAAGGCCCAGAACTTGAGCTGGATCTCGGGCTCCGCGTCGAGGCCTCCGGCCCGCTGCTCCACGGTGGCGAGCCAATCGCCCAGCTCGTCGAACGCGGCCTTGTGCAGCTCCGTCTGCACCAGGCCCCGCTGGAAGATGTGCTCCTGTTGCACGATGTCCAGCTGCACGTGATGGCACGAGAGAAAGAGACGCACAGGTTTGGATTCCAGCTTACACGGGAAAGCCCGCTCACGCAAAGACCAGAGCGCTCTCCCCGCTCGGCCACGTTACAGCAGAAGCGCAACGTGGCCACACTGCCGGCGCGTCACAAGCCTTTTGTGTGGGCCGCGATTGAAACCCCCCACGGAGTGGCCGGTAAGAGGTGGCCGTGCGGCACGCGCTCACGTCGTAGAGGAGCTCGTCGGTGCCGAGCGAGTAGAACTGCAGGTAGCCGGGCTTCCCGTTGAGCGCCAGAGCCTTGCTGCGCGGGTCCACGATGAGCCCCGTGCTCGCGGAGCCTCCTGCACCCAGCAAAACCGGCGGCACCAGCAGCATCAGCATCAGCAGAACCAGCAGCGTATCAGCAGCATCAGCAGCAGCATTAGTATCGGCAGCTTCAGCAACATCAGCAGCACCAGCAGCATGAGCAGCACCAGGAGCATCAGTATCAGCAGCATCAGCACCAGGGAGTGTCAGTAGCAGCAGGACCAGCAGAACCGGTGACATTAGCTGAGCCAGCGGCAACAGTACCAGCAGCACCGGCAGCACCCGCATCAGATACGATCACAAACAGCAGGGCCCTCTCGCGACTTGCCTCTCACGAGGCCTTGAATGACGCGGACCACAAACAGGTTGCTCTTGACGATCGTTATTTCTGGAAAGAGAAAGAGAAGCATGGAGGCGGTGATGATCCGCATTTACGATGTTGATGTAATGTTAACGCCACTGTGGATCGATTTACGACGCATCTCAAGACGTGACTCCAAACACATTTGTGTCGGTCTCTCACAGCTTTTGCCACGCTCGATTGCGAGCAATGCGGATAATTCACCCCGACCCGAGACTAGAGGGTGCTTAAAAGTATCCTCCAAAAAACACTCCTCACCCCCTCGCACCGCCCACAACTAGGGCCCGCGGTGAAGCGCTCAAATCCAGCAGTGGATTGGCGCGACGTCGGCTCGCTGGTTACCAAAACTGCTGAACTCGCCGGGCCCCCGGGTGCCGTGGCCTCAGGTAAATCCTTTTGGGGATCACGCCGAGCGGTGGAACCAGCTCGTCATAAGTACACGTCTCATCATCGGCCACGCACCAGGGCAACTTCTCTCAGTTGCATGCAACTTCTCATTTTCCTGCCATTTCGCAATTGCCCACAACTTATTATTCGCCTGCATTTTCTCAACTGCCTGCATCTTCTCAATTGCCCGCAATATCTAATTTGCCTGCAATTTCTCATCAATTTACTCTCTATGCGTACCATAACACCAACTTCCTATTGGCTCAAAGGTGACTGATGGTGTGAACGAGTGAGAGCCACGGGTGGGTGGGGGGCGGTGGACAAGACACTGGGCGCCGTGGCGCTACATACTGTTGTCGACGTGCCCCGTGGCGAGCAGCGCGCCGCACGGGGACGTGCTCACGCTCGAGATGGGCGCCCCCAGGCGCGGCAGGAAGTCCTTCTGCTCCTCGGCGCAGTGACGCCACTGCACCAGCACGGCCTCGGGGCCGCCCGTGAGCAGGCACGTGCCTGCAGGCCGCACGCACGCGGAAAAGTCGGGTGCGTCCAGACGAGTCGACTTACACAGAGCCACGGGTCGCTGGCGACAAACACCGGCTGGTTAACGCGAGTTGAGGTCCCATTGGCTGAGACCATTTAAACGGAACCATTTTTTATTTTTATTTTACCAGGTAAGGCCATCCGAGCTATATAGCTCTTTTTCAGAAACGACCTGGCTATCACAAATGATAGCTCAATGAAGTGGCTTATCATGTGGAAAAGTATAGCAGCCAAATACTCCAAGCGCACATTTGTAAATGCGGAGGAAAAAAAAAAAGAGAACCCGGAGAAAAATCCACGTGATCACAGGGAGAGACACGCGCAAGCTCCAAAGGTACACCAGGCGTCAGGGTCGGGATTGAACCCACGACCCTCCTGTATACCTGGCGAGACAGTTAACATCTCGCCACCGTGGCGCCCCCCATCCTTGGCTGGTGTCAACCAGGATCGTCAAAAAACCCAATCTGAAACGGCAAAATGTTCCTTTACCTTCGGCAGAATAGGCAAGGTCAGACACCCCCTCGGAGTGCCAGTGATACGTGGAGAACGTGTACTCCTTCTTGTGCCAAAAATTTCTCCTGAAAAAGACACGCGAAATAACCGTGGTTCATCGAACAATTTCGAATAAAAAAATGCATCCCCTGTCGAACCACTAGCACAGCCGGCTACGTACGGTGCAAAAGAAGTTCAGCGTACACAACAGCGTTCCCTCATTATCCGCCATATTGGAATATCCGCGAAATCGCATCTGGAACTCTACACGACCGCATCGAGAGAGATGCGATAAAGCAATGATGCGCAGCAGCATCATCATAACTTAATTAAAATTAATTATTAAAGTATTAAATAATAGTTTATAATGTACTTTTATTTCCATAATGTTTATCACCAATTTAAAACATTTCGTGTTGATAATTCACGTATTTAATAGCTCATTTAAGTTTTAATTTAAGCTTTTCGAGGGCCAATATCATGGTCCACGAAATTTCCTGTTCACAAGCTTCTCTGGAACGTTATCCCTCGTGAATAACAAGGGAATACCACCATACACTCATGGACGAGGGACCTCCTCACATGGCGTCGGTCTGGAGCCTTGAAGGACCATACTTCACCGCACTGGTCAGTGTGGGTTAGTGAAGGGGAGGCCCCCCCAGGAGTGATTTGGATATCGCTCGCCACAGACGATGGTCCGTGGCGTCCAGGAATCCAACCCGAATCGCAGGGTTAATCACGCGGCAGTGCACTAACCACAGCGACGTTAATCCACGTCAATCCATGCTCATGCATTTGACGCTACGGGTATTTGTCTTGCTTTTCCAGATGTAACAATTATCAAAAGAAAAAAACCCGAGTGCGATATATATCACGGACCCGATGTCCTCCATCAAGGGCCTGGATGGGAGGAGGAACACACATCCCATAATAATGATGATACAGTGAAACCTTGGATTGCGAGCAAAATTAGTTCCGGAAACGTGCTCGTAATCCAAAGCACTCGTATATCAAAGCGAAATCATGGAAACTCAGATGATTCGTTCCACAACCCAAAAATACTGTATTCATATAAAAATGATTAATACAAAATACCTTTTTATATTTTTTATTATTTAAATTTAATATAAAGTAATCAAATTTATTAATTACATTTAATCGTGGCTGGTGTGAGGGAGACGAGAGAGAGGAGAGGAGGGTTATTGTGTAGGACGACTTTCACTTGCAGTACAGTTACTAAAGAACAATCACTACACTTGGACACAAAATAAAAAAAATGCTTTACGCACACACACGTGGTCACAACACTATACTGTAGAAAACAGTACACACGTGGTCACAACACTATACTGTAGTAAACAGTACACACGTGGTCACAACACTATACTGTAGTAAACAGTATACGCTCGCACGGATGTTCACTATACGAGTGAGGCATGCCGACTGAGACCGAGCATGGGAGATGATTACCCACAATCCTGCAGCGAGAGAGAGAAGAACCATTGGCTCAGTTGTGATCACGTGACGCTCGGCAGACAAAGCGTATACTGTACGTACTGCTCGTATTGCAAGGCATCGCTAGTTTATCAAATTATTATTTATTCAAAAAATTTGCTCGTTTTGCAAAACACTCGCAGACCAAGTTACTCGCAATCCAAGATTTCACTGTACTTGCTTTCATATTGCGCCCATAACGTAACAAAACGGCTGAGTTATTTTATTTAGTCTAGGGTACCCCCCTTAGTAGCAGTTTGTCGTTATGTGGCACAAGATGAGCACATAGCACTGTCTGGTAGGAGGCAATGTTGCTCTTGGTTGTTCCAGAAAAAATACTTGGAAAATTTGGACCGTGACACTGGCACAAGTGGCTTACTATACGTCTCAATCACATCACGGCATCTTTAACGCAAGTTGAGCGAAAAGCAAACGGTGCATGGCACCTTACGGTTAATACACACACACCGCAGTATTAACCAGGGCTGCCGGCGAGGGGCGTGTAGGGCAGCACCTTGAACCGTAAAACTCTCCGCTGTGCGGCGAACGCGCCACTCCTCCTGCACCGCGTCCCTGAACAACCACACCAACCCCCCCCACCCCCTCCCACCACTGATTTAGTTTCGCGTCTCCACTCACCACAGGCGAATCCTGCCGTCGACGTGGCCCGTCGCGATGCAGTTCTCCGTGGGGTGGCACGCCACCACGACGAACGTGTTGTCCGTCTTCTTCTTCACATTCGACTTCAGCGTCAGCCTGCGGCCCCGCAGACCCAACGACCGATTACAGCGCAGTTCCAGTTCTTTGACAGTGTATGTCCGTACACGAGCAACCCCCCTTTTGTCGATTGTAAACTATTTTTATTTTACCAAGTAAGGCCCACTGAGCGACATAGCGCTTTTTCAGAAGCGATCTGGGCCACAAATGATAGCTCAAAGTGGCTTATAGAGTGGAAATGTATTGCAGCCAAATACTCTGAAAGAACCCCCACCGACCTCAAAGATAAACAATGAATACGTTTTTAGTGGCTCATTAACATGATTGGCATTACACGTATTTTTGTTCTGTCCAGGCCACCGCTCCCCAAAATTACGCAGAGGGTTGTGCCCTACACTTGGCATAATCTACGTGACATGTCCTTTCATCTCACCAATTCCACTTCTTCTTCTTGAGGTGGAACACCCCGAGCATGTCGTTTTGTACAAACGCCAAGTACTCCCCCTGCAACAAAATGAAGATGACAATAAGCCGATGTAAACCGCGTAGTCAAGACCAATTATTTTGGCGGTGCACGAGCTGAAAGAGTGCCATAGCCTAAAACGTCACCTATTTAAATATTTATTGACAAAAAACGTGATTTTTTTCCACGACCACTATTATGATTCGTACTTAATTGATTTTGGGTTAGATCACTGTGTAGATGTCAATTTCTAACTGTAACCTTCCACCGCCCCAAAGAGCCAGGTCATAGACAAATATACTAATTGATTTGTTTTACGAGCAGAAATATTGAAAGCAAGCAAAATTCAAGAATTTGGCACAACGTTTATCCTGCATCACCATAAGGTGGTAACAAAATCTCAGCTCTCGCGTGAACGAGCGTCTTAATTTGGGGTCCACAAAAGCAACGGAGCTGTAATTTCTGATGTATTAAACAGTTTCCGTGTCATACCGACTGCGTGGCAGGATAATCGTCTGCAGGGAGAATACAGACAACAGAAGACAGATGGCTAAAGAGAACTCGAGGCAACAGCCACGATCATTACGATGACCCAACGGGGAGGGGGGGGGGGGGGTTGGGGGGGGGGCTGTGGCGCAGGTGGGTGAGGCACTCACGTGGCAGCTGAACGAGACGGATTTTTCCGAGCACCCCGACGTCTCCACGACCTCATCGGACTCCGTCACCTCTACCTCCACCTTCGGCGACTTGGGAACGGTGAGCGCCAACAACTGGAACCTCCCTGCTCAAGACGACACGGGCCGTTGTTCAAGGGCTTTGAGATTACTTTATTTGACCAGGGGTGGTGTCAACGTCAACGAGACCAAGATAGGTTTAATTTGCAAGGAGCGACGCGGGTCAGCATTATTACTAAACCTAAACGAATTAAAACGAGAACAAAAAGTTACCGCATCCATCACGTGACGACTTGAAAATGACGCAAAAATAATTTCCCTCCAGATTGAATGCAGCACAAATTAAAAAACTAAACTCCAGGAATATGAACATTAAACAGATATAGGGTGACTTTCGTACTGATATGCAAACAAACAAGGGAATATGCGTCTTTAATAAGTAGGGTCGCTGCGATACCATGATACAAATCAGCGAATATTCCGTTCGGCAAATATTGTTCAATGCCACTTTGCGACTTGGCCTCAGGTAAATCCTTAAAGTGGTTTCATCCCGACCAAAGCCGGTCATGAGTACACATCTCATCACAGGCCAGCCACGCGTGGCCCACTGACGCTACGGTTTCAGCGCAGACACTACGAAGTCTCGCACAGCTTAAGGTCCGCGATATCGTCCACTTTTGCTAAAACATAGTTCTGTCGCGATTTTCGCTCGTCTTATTCACAGAAAATTATAATTTTCCTGACGATCTATTTTTGAAAGAACAATAGTTCAAGATCACGAAAATAATATTTAATAAAAAAGCATGCTATTAACCATTAAAGGAGTACTATATACAGAGCTGTCCATAGGGGAGTGCGGGGTATGGGGCAAATTGCACTGTCTATAACGTTATAACGCGGAAAGAGCAACTCGTTAAAATGCTGTGTCTGAGCGGTCACTGACAAACTACTTACTCGAGCTGTATGGCCAAGCGGTATGATACAGTACGCGGAATAATGTAGTAATGCGGCGGCGTAACCTCAGGTATTTGTCCCGCCATCTTACCGTGCGCGTGCGTAGTAGCACATTGTATCCCGGCAAACTTTATTGTGAAATTATTTCATGGGGAAATAGTTTTCGCTGAACACGGGCCGCACTTTTCAGAAACAATCTCCTACCGCCTTAAACGACTCGCTGCGTAAGCGGGAGTGCGTGAAAAGTTGGAAAGTTGGTAAAAACCTGGTACAGCTGTGCCGGAGCTGTTGGTCTCTTTGGTGCTGAAGACGTAGAGGTGGCTGGGGGTGGTGACACAGGTGTAGAGCGCGAGCAGGGGACGATGCACCAAGAACGTCTGGTAAAAAGAGAGACGTTCGACTCAAATCGTAAACCATCACGCGAGCTCTGGTTCATCCTCGCTAGCCATCGAACAAAGATAGTCACTGCATCGCGTGCTTTTAAATGCGCTTCTGCAGCCGTCTGAAACTGCTCTTCCTTCCGATATTCAGAAGCCACTGGAGCTATGCACTTTTAAATCTAGATTGGAAACTAATTTCTTTAAAACAGCTTTTTGTGTTTGTTGTCCTTCCCCCGCACCTCAGATTAGCACGGCGATTTGACCTTCGACCAAAGTTCTTAAGAAACCCATATCAACAATTGATTAGAGGCTGCTGCATTTATCAAAAGGTGACCAACTTTCACAATATTGAGCAAATAGTATGCATGTAAGTGTACACAATGATAAAATATAACTGCGTGTTTCCTATACCTTAATCAGGATGCCATCCATGTAATCCCAGAGCTTAATTGTGCCATCTTCAGAGCTGGAATAAGCCTGCAAAGCACAGCATACAATTTAAAACACGTTAAGAGATTTGACGAGCAAGCTATGAGTGTCAACAAAGTATGAGCATTCACGTGACAAAAGGGGGTTGGTTGCGCGGCCCAGCGGGTACTGCTTTCGCCGCTTGTGCACAGACTCGCGGTTCGAATCTGGCGGGCCGAACGGCCTGGTTAATACTGCGGTATCAACTATCAAATAAGCGCCATCTGCTTTCACTTCACATCAAAGATCCCAAGATGTAATTCATGGTCCAAATTTGACAATGTACCAGCAAAAGAGTCAACTGGGACCATTGTCTGTGAAAAGTGGTGCGCTTTTTTACAGCCTTGGCTGTTAAGAATGGCACAAATACCGAATGTACTAATTAATTGATTGAACAAAGTACCAATTAGGTGACCAGGTTAAAACGAGCTGAGGGACCTGAAGGTAGTTGTTGGGGTTGAGTTGGATTCCCGTGACGAGGTGTCCATGTCCCGTGAGCTCGTGCAAGGTCTCGCCCGTCGCGGTGTTGAACACCTTGATGAGGTCTCCTGATGCGCACAGCAAATACCTGCACACATGGCGCGATTCAGACACGTGCTACTCTTAATATACAAAATACTAATATCCCCATTATGCCCTTGAGACTGTTGGGGCAAGCACTGCTAGAGCACCTGTAACCTAAACTATTTTTTTTTATTTTACCAGGTAAGACCCACAAAAGTGGCTGACTACGTGCTCCATTTACAACAGCCAAATCCTCTAAACGCGTGATGTTGTTTCTCAAATGGCAATGGAAAAAAAACGAAGGACCCGTGAGAAGCATCCACACGAGCACGGGGAGAGAGACGCGCAAACTCCAAACATTAGAGGCATCATCAGGTGTCGGGATCTGCTGTATACCTCCTATAAACACCAGGCAAGGTAGTTAACCACATTTCTCGCCACCGTGGCACTCTCAAGGCTGACACAGCACATCGCACCAGGTACCACTCGGCGACGGCCGAGTCGACCTCGGGGAGGGTTCTGGACCGGTTCAAAAATTCGTCAGGGATGTTGGTCGCAAAGCAGGAATTAAAATTCGCGTCCCTGAATTCGTAGCACAGTGCGCTAACGAATAACTAATACGCACGCACAGTCCAGTGAACAGAAGACACTATGATGGTGAATGCTATGGTGTACAGCTGGGTCATACAGCCCATGCACTTTATGCACCAAGAGGTTTCTAGAGGGGCCTCTCTTGAGCTCCTCGTGGAGACGATTCTGCCAACAGTGGCACGAGCAATTGCAGGGCTGCGCCTTTGTTCTTTTATTAATAATATTATTATTAACTAGTCCATGGTCAATCAACTGCAGGACGAGGGCCTCACCACCAACAACGTCATAACCTCGTTATAAAGAAATCGATTAATCTCATTAATTGTTCTTACATGCAATATGCCACCTTATTTTTTTTTTCAAGAGAGCTAAATGAAAGCTTTAAGTGCGTGTGTTTACAGCCTGAAACGGCGACGAACTCCTCTTGGATCCAGCACTTTGGAGGCGAGGAGATTTGGAGGCGATGAGATTTGGTGCATCGGCGATTCCGTGGCAATAATCCCCAAAAACCTGCCTGGGCTTCGAAGGTGCTTAAGAGGAGGGCGCCTTGAACGCCGTCGTCGCAAAGGCAGCGAGCGGGCTGATTATGTGGGGGCGCGTTAAATCCAACAGAACGACGGCGAGATGACGATCATCTACGACGATGAGTCGTTCGTTCAGCAGTGCAAGGGGCCCATCCATTTAGTACGTACGCATGGAGGGGGGTTAACCCAAATGCGTAGCTTGTGTATGGGGGGGTCTACTGACAATGTACACATAGGAAACGGGGGGGGGAGGGCGGTGTGTGAAGCCTCGATAATAATTTGTCTACATTGGCCTTCAAATGAGTTAAGATAGTCCGACGGTGGACTGTTAGCTTAAACACGTTAATATTATTAGTCCTTGATCGTTTGTGCGTGGATTAAATATCGGCCGTTCTATAGGATTCGGAGGGGGGGGGGTGTAAAAAGTCCTCGTGGAGGGGGGAGTAAGGGTCAAGTTGTGACAGATTTTTGCGCACCTACTAAATGGATGGCCCACAATGGCTCGTGATTTTTTTTTAAGATTTCATCTACGGTACTCGTGTGTCAATTGATGATTTAAAAAAAAACCCCGTATCGTGTAGCGGCCTTCATCAACGGTAGACTGGTTTCCGACGGAAAGGCCTTCAGCCAGCAGTGGATAACCCATATTATGATGAAGAGGCCTTAATCCAGCGGTAAACCAGAGCTTATGATGAAAAACAATATACTGAGAGGCATTCATCCAGCGGTGGATAATTACAGCTTCTGATAAAAAAATGGCGAGGCCTTCACCCAGGGAGTGGCAATTGGATAGACCACCGTAGCTTATGATACTAATATTAACAGAGGCCTTAATTCATCAGTGGAGTGACCGTAACGTATAATACAAATGACGGGAAGACGTCATGCTGGATTGGTTATCGTGCTAGACCACAGCTCAAAATAACGCTGAGGCCTTCGTTCAGCAGTAGACATACTGTACTAAATTATTGGTAGGCCTTCACGCAGAAGTAGCGGATAGCTTACGACGATAATGGGTTCACATGGCACCGGATAGCCCCTGGCTTCCAATTATATTATTAGTATTTATCTGACGAAGTTTAATCTCAACGTCGGTAAACCCGCCACAGCCACTGCAACGAGCTATACCACGCACGGAGCACGTGTTCTCAACAGCCTCAACACTCAACTGGATCCCCGCTACTCGCTGCAAACTTAAAACACACACGCATAAAAAACCATTATCGTTCATTTTGCAAAGGCGCTCACTTTCCGTCGTTCGTGAAGACGGGCCTCCTGAAGACGAGCCTGCTGCCGCCGCTTCTCGCCACGCGGACTCCCCTCGGGTTCTCGTCCACGCTCATCACCCCCATGGCCTCCGTTTTACAAACCCTGCTGCCTGCCTGCCTGCCTCGCTCGCTCGCTCCAGGCAAATGGAACTCTCCACCCACCCACTTCCACCCACCACCACGTGTCTCTCACTACTCCCCTACCACCACCCACTGTACCACGCTGCCGACACGTGATTAGGAACGTGTGCAGCCGCGCCGCCATCTTACCAAGGGGGTTGGGTATTAAATAACGCTGGATGACGTCATCAACACCGGACGATCTCCCGCCCCCTCCCCCGCCCCGCCATAACGTTGTTGACAAACACCGCCTCCCACACCCCCCCCCCCACGTAAGATGGCCGCCGTTGTATGTTGAGCTGATGACGTCGCAGAAATTGGCTTCACTTGGCCAATCAAACGGCGTCTTGCGGCTCGGTCACGTTCTTGGTTGGAAGCGTAAACACGGCGAGGTTGTTGTTGGTGGTGGGGGGTGTCACGCGCGTGAAGGCGCTGCGTTGAGTTTGTCAAGCGCGTTGAGTTTTGCGAACAACGCGCACACGACCGTCGCGTTGAGCAACGTCGCGGCGATTTTGGCCATCGCTCGCGTCCAATTTGGGAACGGACATGCGGGCGACAAAGCAACGCGGCGTCTTGTTGTTGTTGTCGTCGTCGTCACTCGTGCGTGCGATGGCACGCGGGAACTTCCGCGGGTTTCTAATCCCGCGTTACATCCGGTGTTGGCACTGGGCCGGCGTCATGGACACGTGCTGCCGCGGATTTCTGAAGATTTCCGCGGGTTTCTAATATCGCGTTGTACCCGGTGTTGGCACCGGGCCTGTGCCGTCGACACGTGCTTCCGCGGATTTGAAAACTTCCGCGGGTTTCTAATCGCCGTGTTTCTGGAGGTTTGCCACCGGGCCCGTGTCTACACGTGCTGCCGCGGATTTTTAAAGACTTCCGCGGGTTTCTAATCCCGCGTTGTTTCCTGGATTGGCACCGGGCCCGCGTCATCGACACGTGCTGCCGCGGATTTGTGTCACAGATCACGCTCGAGTTTGATTTGTGTTTCACCATCATTCGCCGTGTTCAATCCACTGCTGGATTAAAACCTCCACCGCCAACCAACCAAGCCGTCGAGCCACCACGCTTCACGTTTCTCCGATGGCATAGCAATCCAGCCGGGTAACCTGCGCCGCTGCACACCAGGTGATTACATCGCTCCATTCATCGACTGCTGCTGTGTCACGTTAGTCATTCCTCGACTGCTGCTGTGTCACTCACGTTAGTCATTCCTCGACTGCTGTGTCACTCACTTTAGTCATTCCTTGACTGCTGTGTCACTCACGTTAGTCATTCCTCGACTGCTGCTGTGTCACTCACGTTAGTCATTCCTCGACTGCTGTGTCACTCACTTTAGTCATTCCTTGACTGCTGCTGTGTCACGTTAGTCATTCCTTGACTGCTGTCACTCACGTTAGTCATTCCTTGACTGCTGTGTCACTCACGTTAGTCATTCCTTGACTGCTGCTGTGTCACTCACGTTAGTCATTCCTCGACTGCTGCTGTGTCACTCACGTTAGTCATTCCTTGACTGCTGTGTCACGTTAGTCATTCCTTGACTGCTGTGTCACTCACGTTAGTCATTCCTTGACTGCTGCTGTGTCACGTTAGTCATTCCTTGACTGCTGTGTCACTCACGTTAGTCATTCCTTGACTGCTGTGTCACTCACGTTAGTCATTCCTCGACTGCTGCTGTGTCACTCACGTTAGTCATTCCTCGACTGCTGTGTCATTCACTTTAGTCATTCCTTGACTGCTGCTGTGTCACGTTAGTCATTCCTCGACTGCTGCTGTGTCACTCACGTTAGTCATTCCTTGACTGCTGTGTCACTCACGTTAGTCATTCCTTGACTGCTGTGTCACGTTAGTCATTCCTCGACTGCTGCTGTGTCACTCACGTTAGTCATTCCTTGACTGCTGTGTCACTCACGTTAGTCATTCCTTGACTGCTGCTGTGTCACTCACGTTAGTCATTCCTTGACTGCTGCTGTGTCACTCACGTTAGTCATTCCTTGACTGCTGTGTCACTCACGTTAGTAATTCCTTGACTGCTGTGTCACGTTAGTCATTCCTTGACTGCTGTGTCACTCACGTTAGTCATTCCTCGACTGCTGTGTCACTCACGTTAGTCATTCCTTGACTGCTGTGTCACTCACGTTAGTCATTCCTTGACTGCTGTGTCACTCACGTTAGTCATTCCTCGACTGCTGTGTCACTCACGTTAGTCATTCCTTGACTGCTGCTGTGTCACTCACGTTAGTCATTCTTTGACTGCTGTGTCACTCACGTTAGTCATTCCTTGACTGCTGTGTCACGTTAGTCATTCTTTGACTGCTGTGTCACTCACGTTAGTCATTCCTTGACTGCTTTGTCACTCACGTTAGTCATTCCTCGACTGCTGTGTCACTCACGTTAGTCATTCCTCGACTGCTTTGCCACTCACGTTAGTCATTCCTTGACTGCTGCTGTGTCACTCACGTTAGTCATTCCTCGACTGCTGTGTCACGTTAGTCATTCCTTGACTGCTGTGTCACTCACGTTAGTCATTCCTCGACTGCTTTGCCACGATCCCATCAAGCGACGTGTCCACAAGTTCCGATTCTCAACGTTTCTGACAAGTGTCCCCAAACCTTGCGTTGTCTTCTCCAATACACGCGCTCATCTTTCCCTCCCGTATCTCTCGGGCAATTAACACAACGAAATATTGAAACGCAATACACATTTTTTTGGGGGGGGGGGGCGGATTGGATACGCTTCACAAACTGGAACCCCAAGCTCCGCTCTTTCTCTCCGATTTATTTTCATCCCTTTGATCCTCGGGATCGATTTCCAAACAACCTTTTGATTTCATAATTATCACGAGTCCAACTTTTTTTTGTTTTTTTACGCTACCCCGTTTTTTTCCATTTTTTTATTTTTCTAATAATTACTAATGTCGATACGTGCGGCAAAACCGATAATAATTAATCGATGTGCCATCGGGGCCGTTTTGTTTGTTGCATTGCGTTAAGGATAATGCTACGAGATAAAAAAACAGATTTTGAGTGCCACGGTTGTTGTTGCTTCGCGTTCATTGCTTCACGTTGCTCATAAAAATATATATATACCTCTTGCGTGTTCCCCTCTTTGTTACTGTCTTACCACTGTAAGCAATGATTTATTTTGCTCGGATGAATTCTGTTGGATTAATGCCACACACGCGCACACACAAAGAAGATGTTTAAGACGTATACTGTATCCTGCCACGCGGTCCCTTCTCAATTATTGCCCTCCCGAGAAGCCCCTTTTCAAGGTCATAACACAAAGGGCAAAGATGCCCATGACGCAAGTTGCTGTCGGCGAGTTGAACTCGGTGAAGGCCGACACGGGGATGTTGTTGGTACAATATGCTGTGAACTCTTTTATTTCATTGTACCAGCTAAGGTCCCACCGTGTTATATGGCGCTTGTTCAAGAGCGACCTGGCTACCGCAAATGATAGCCCAACGAAGTGGCTTATCGTCGCGTGGAAATGTATAGCAGCCAAATACTCTTAAACGCGTGATGTTAATTCTTCTGAATGTGGATGGGGGGGGGGAAACCGGATGACCCGGAGAAAAATCCACGCCACCACCACCACGGTGAGAACACTCAAACTCGAAATATACAGCAGCAGCAGCAGCAGGCGTCAGGGTCGGTATGGAAACCACGACCTCCTGCATACCCGGCGGGGTAGTTAACATCTCATAGCCACCGTGAAGCCCCCAGCAACTTGCAGGGAGAGGAGACCCATATTTGAAATAGATGGGTTGCTCAGAAACCTGCTTAGCTTACGAGATCGAGGACATTCCTGGGCGATCGAGTCGCATGCGGTTGGCTTAATTGTGTGTACGCTATATTCTTGGTTCTTTCGGTAAAGTCACGTAGAAGGGAAATAATAAAATAATGCAAATAAAAAATACAATAAAATTCTCAAGACGTTTTTCGATTGCAACACAAGCAATCATCATCAGGTGTGAAAACCACAGCAAGAAAAATTTAAAAAAGTGGCTTTTACCGAAAGAGCCAAGAATATGAATCCCTTCAGCCACGAAAGCTTTAAATCGAAATGTGGTAGGCTAATAATAACCTTGTGGCTATCGTTACCCAGGCAACCATCGCCACGATTCATTGCAGAGGGCTTTACACACTTGGTTAAATCGAGGTAAAGACATCGGTATTGTATTTTTGCAACATTAAGTAGCTCGGAGGTGCATTCAGAACTTGTTTTGATGTAAAAACCTAAAATATTGCATCACTGTCTTCTATTAATAGCGGGGTGAGTGGGCATATATGAGAGAAAAAAAACAATTCCAGACCTGTGGTTCAAACAAAGATCTGTCCGATGATACTATATCTCATTGTAAACTAAATAATGCAAAGACATAACTATAGGCAGCAGGGAAGGATGGATTGAAATGTTTCTCCTACTACTCTTAGGCTTTTCGATGAGTCGTTCTGGCTGTCGAACCTTTTTTATCTTTTACACTTAGTTCATAAGCATGGTCTCGTGTGACTTGGGAAACTTGTATTGGTGCTGTGCTCTTCTGCCAATTACAGCCCTGAGTTACTCGTGGAAATTCCACATTCCTACGGCAGATGCGAGTATATCCATCGGGCAACCAGTGGTAACTGCTCATTTGAATAACCCCAGAGAGTAATGATGGGCTGAGTGAACGTCCAACCAGGATTTGAACTCGCCACCTTAGCATTCTGTGCTCCTCTCCGTGTCAATTTGCCTCCTGGTCTCCAATTCATTTACAGTTTACTCCAGGGATAATGACTCAAATCAGAATTACCACTCGAGAGATTAACTACCGTGATTGGAGTGTTACATTTTAGGATAGTTGCTTATTTTCGTGCGCAATTCATTTCATGGGCATTTAATTAATATGCTGAGTTGAAATGACAAAGTCTTTTTGTAATTTGAACTCGCATACCAGGATTGTAGTTATGAGTATGCCCTTGTTTAGACTTATTTCCATGAATGTCATTCATTCGCAGGGTAGTTGCGTTTATTTAAAAACACTGCCATGTGCAATAATACTGTTGTTTGCGTATGGTGGTGTAATGCATTTGCTATTTCATACCTTGTGAAGTAAACAAGCGGTTACCGTATTTTCCCGCATATAACCCCGCAAAAAAGCGTTTTGTGTAAAACAAATTTCAGATAGCCCGCGCCTCCATATACCCCGCAGGGTCTTGTTTTGTTTGTAAAAAGTGGTATAACCCGCGGGTTATATGCGGGGAAATATGGTAATTGTGAAATGTGCCATGCAGTTATTCTGCGTGAACACACAAACTTGCAATTTAAAGTAAACGGCGATACTGTGGAACTCTGTTGAATGATGCCCTGTTACCCAATTATTTTTGTTGATCTTTTCAATGGCATTGTAAAAATCGAGCATTTCATCGATGCACTACTGGGCGTTGCATATATATGTAGTGTTTTTAATTCACGCGGACAACTTCTGTTTCTCCTGTGTCACTTCTTATTGAACAGAACTCCTCGCGTTCAACACCACCACGTGACTCCGTCGCAACTCGCCCGCTTGCACTGCTTCGCTCACTCCGCTAACTCTCCACTGCTAGCCTACTCTCTCTCTCTCAGCCTCTCTACTGCTAGCCTACTCTCTCTCCTAGTCTCTCTACTGCTAGCCTACTCTCTCTCAGCCTCTCTACTGCTAGCCTACTCTCTCTCCTAGTCTCTCTACTGCTAGCCTACTCTCTCTCCTAGCCTCTCTACTGCTAGCCTACTCTCTCTCCTAGTCTCTCTACTGCTAGCCTACTCTCTCTCTCCTAGCCTCTCCACTGCTAGCCTACTCTCTCTCTCACTCTCCTAGCCTCTCTACTGCTAGCCTGTTCTCTATCTCCTAGCCTCAACACTGCTAGCCTACTCTCTCTCCTAGCCTCTCTACTGCTAGCCTACTCTCTCCTAGCCTCTCTACTGCTAGCCTACTCTCTCTCCTAGCCTCTCTACTGCTAGCCTACTCTCTCCTAGCCTCTCTACTGCTAGCCTACTCTCTCTCCTAGTCTCTCTACTGCTAACCTGCTCTCTCTCCTAGCCTCTCTACTGCTAGCCTGCTCTCTCTCCTAGCCTCTCTACTGCTAGCCTGCTTCGCTCACTCCACTAACTCTCTACTTCTAGCCTATGCTCTCTCCTAGCCTCTCTACTGCTAGCCTACTCTCTCTCCTAGCCTCTCCACTGCTAGCCTACTCTCTCACTCTCCTAGCCTCTCTACTGCTAGCCTACTCTCTCTTTCTAGCCTCTCTACTGCTAGCCTACTCTCTCAGCCTCTCTACTGCTAACCTGCTCTCTCTCCTAGCCTCTCTACTGCTAGCCTACTCTCTCAGCCTCTCTACTGCTAACCTGCTCTCTCTCTCACTCTCCTAGCCTCTCCACTGCTAGCCTACTCTCTCTCTCAGCCTCTCTACTGCTAGCCTGCTCTCTCTCCTAGCCTCTACTGCTAGCTTACTCTCTCTCACTCTCCTAGTCTCTCCACTGCTAGCCTGCTCTCTCTCAGCCTCTCTACTGCTAGACTATTCTCTCTCCTAGTCTCTCTACTGCTAGCCTGCTCTCTCTCTCCTAGCCTCTCTACTGCTAGCCTGCTCTCTCTCTCCTAGCCTCTCTACTGCTAGCCTACTCTCTCTTAGCCTCTCTACTGCTAGCCTACTCTCTCTCCCTCTCCTAGTCTCTCTACTGCTAGCCTACTCTCTCTCATAGTCTCTCTACTGCTAGCCTACTCTCTCTCTTCTAGCCTCTACTGCTAGCCTGCTCTCTCTCACTCTCCTAGTCTCTCTACTGCTAGCCTACTCTCTCTCCTAGCCTCTCCACTGCTAGCCTGCTCTCTCCTAGCCTCTCTACTGCTAGCCTACTCTCTCCTAGCCTCTCTACTGCTAGCCTGCTTCGCTCACTCCGCTAACTCTCTACTGCTAGCCTACGCTCTCTCTCCTAGCCTCTCTACTGCTAGCCTACTCTCTCTCCTAGCCTCTCCACTGCTAGCCTACTCTCTCTCACTCTCCTAGCCTCTCTACTGCTAGCCTGCTCTCTCTCTCCTAGCCTCTCTACTGCTAGCCTACTCACTCTCCTAGTCTCTCTACTGCTAGCCTACTCTCTCTTCTAGCCTCTCTACTGCTAGCCTGCTCTCTCTCACTCTCCTATTCTCTACTGCTAGCCTACTCTCTCACTCCTAGCCTCTCTACTGCTAGCCTGCTCTCTCTCGCCTAGCCTCTCTACTGCTAGCCTGCTCTCTCTCACTCTCCTAGCCTCTACTGCTAGCCTGCTCTCTCTTCTAGCCTCTCTACTGCTAGCCTACTCTCTCTTCTAGCCTCTCTACTGCTAGCCTGCTCTCTCTCACTCTCGTAGCCTCTCTACTGCTAGCCTGCTCTCTCTCTTAGCCTCTCTACTGCTAGCCTGCTCTCTCTCACTCTCCTAGCCTCTCCACTGCTAGCCTGCTCTCTCCTAGCCTCTCTAATGCTAGCCTACTCTCTCTCACTCTCCTAGCCTCTCTACTGCTAGCCTGTTCTCTCTCTCTCTCCTAGCCTCTCCACTGCTAGCCTACTCTCTCACTCTCCTAGTCTCCGTACTGCTAGCCTGCTCTCTCTCTCCTAGTCTCTCCACTGCTAGCCTACTCTCTCTCCTAGCCTCTCTTCTGCTAGCCTGCTCTCTCTCACTCTCCTAGCCTCTCTACTGCTAGCCTGTTCTCTCCTAGCTTCTCGACTACTTGCCTGTTCTCTCTCTTCTAGCCTACCTACTGCTTGCCTGCTCTCTCTCCTAGCTTCTCTACTACTAGCTTGCTCTCTCTCAGCCTCTCTACTGCTAGCCTGCTCTCTCCTAGTCTCTCTACTGCTAGCCTGCTCTCTCCTAGTCTCTCTACTGCTAGCCTGCTCTCTCCTAGTCTCTCTACTGCTAGCCTACTCTCTCACTCTCCTATTCTCTCTACTGCTAGCCTACTCTCTCTCCTAGCCTATCTACTGCTAGCCTGCTCTCTCTCCTAGCTTCTCTACTGCTAGCCTGCCTGCCACGCTCCGCTCGCTTCGCTCTTTCCGCTGCTGGCCTATCACTACACCCTCTGGTAGCTTCCCACCGTACACTCTGCCAGCCTCTCCGCTGCTAGCCTGTTACCGTACACTCTGCTAGCTTCTCCACTGCTAGCCTGTCACTATACACTCTGCTAGCTTCTCCACTGCTAGCCTGTCACTATACACTCTGATAGCTTCTCCACTGCTAGCCTGTCACTATACACTCTGCTAGTTTCTCCACTGCTGGCCTTCCGCTGTATTATCTGCTAGCTCCTCTACTGCTAACCTCTCGCTATACCCTCTGCTAGCTTCTGCACTGCTGGCCTTCCGCTGTATTATCTGCTAGCTTCTCCGCTGCTAGCCTGCGGCTATACCCTCTGCTAGCTTCTCCACTGCTAGCCTTCCGCTATATTCTCTGCTAGCGTCTCCACCGCTAGCCTTCTGCTACAGTGAGGGAAAAAGTATTTCATCCCCTGCTGATTTTGTACGTTTACCCACTGACAAAGAAATGATCAGTCTGTAATTTTAATGGTAGGTTTATTTGAACAGCGAGAGACAGAATAACAACAACAAAATCCAGAAAAACGCATGTCAAAAATGTTATAAATTGATTTGCATTTTAATGAGGGAAATAAGTATTTGACCCCCTCTCAATCAGAAAGATTTCTGGCTCCCAGGTGTCTTTTATACAGGTAACGAGCTGGCACACTTTTTCAAGGCTGAGTGGACAGCGCTGTTAGCGAGCACCTGTGAAGGCCGGCACGGCACACGAGGGGGTGGGTGGCCAGCACCACGCACGGCCGCCTTTGTCTCCCCAGTGGCGATGTTTACACACCGCGCCAGGTACTACTCATTTGAGGCTGAGTCGACCTTGGGGAGGCACAGGACCGGTTCAGACATCAGCGGGAATCGAACTCTGGTCGCCGGCTCCTCCGGTCTTCACCTGCACATTAAGAATAAACTTGCGTTTCGAATATTTTGCTGCAATAAATTACCACGTGATAAACCACTTCGTCGGGCTATCATTTGTGGCCCAGTTCGCTTCTGATAAAAAGAGCTGTCATAGCTCAGTGGGTCCCACCTGGGAAAAAAATAATAATCATACATCGCGCTAACTACTGCGCCACCGCTCCCCATTACACTCGTCATACGACTGGATCGCGTTTTTTTCCCTACCTGCAGGCGGTAATAAAGCGAACTGCAACATTTGGAAAATGTAAGAGGGCCTGGGACCCCGATGCGTACTTTGGCACCAGTCGGCGCCAGTCAGCGCTGGTTGAAGCTTTTTGTTTGTGAATTGTTTGTGTGTGTGTGGGTTGCACATATGTGGGGAGCGGTAGTGCAGCGGTTAGCGCACTGCGCTGCGAACCTGGCGACACGGGTTCGATCCCTGCTCACGGCCAACGTCGGTGACGGTTGTCTGAACCGGTCCTGGGGCTTCCCCTAGGTCGACCCGGCCTCACGTGCGTACCTGGTGCGGTGTGTAAAACGTCGCCACTGGGGAGACAAAGGCGGCCGGGCGTGGTGCTGGCCACCCACCCTCCCCTCGTGTGCCGTCCCATGCCCAACGTGAACACCCCACGAGTGCGCACCAACAACAACCAAAACACACACAATGTTCACGTTGTGCGGCCTCAAAACTGCGTGCGTTGAATAGCGCCCTGCTGTGGTTACACAAATGACTGCTGTGCAAGTGAAATGTGAGCCGCTTGCCATAGGTGAAAGCAGCACCCCCCCCCCCCGTCGGCTTCAGGGCATCATCACCTGAACACGACGAGGGGTGGTGGCCCTGGTGACTTCAATGCTTGGCGTTTTTTTTATCCTCCACACCCTCAACCCGCGTCTCCACACCTCACTTGCTCTGCAGGAAGCGCAAATGCCACGACGCGCACAGAGCTCGCCACGCCAATCACCGCTTGGTCAGTAACGACAGGAGGAGGAGGACGACGAAACTTGTCAGGTGAGCCACGATCAGAAGCAGAATATGTATGTAAACTGGGTGAATCCGATGAGAGCTACGATCAGAAGCAGAATGTATGTAAACTGGGTGAATCCGATGAGAGCCAGGATCAGAAGCAGAATATGAATTTATACTGGGTGAATCCGATGAGAGCCAGGATCAGAAGCAGAATGTGTATTTATACTGGGTGAATCCGATGAGAGCCAGGATCCGAAGCAAAATATGTATTTATACTGGGTGAATCCGATCAGAGCCAGGATCAGAAGCAGAATGTATTTATAATGGGTGAATCCGATGAGAGCCACGATCAGAAGCAGAATATGAATTTATACTGGGTGAATCCGATGAGAGCCAGGATCCGAAGCAAAATATGTATTTATACTGGGTGAATCCGATCAGAGCCAGGATCAGAAGCAGAATGTATTTATACTGGGTGAATCCGATGAGAGCCACGATCAGAAGCAGAATATGTATTTATACTGGGTGAATCCGATCAGAGCCAGAATCAGAAGCAAAATATGAATTTATACTGGGTGAATCCGATCAGAGCCAGAATCAGACGCAGAATGTATACTGGATGAATCCGATGAGCTATAAAGCTATTTCGCAGATGTCCAGTAGGGGGCAGGTTGCAGAGCATAACGACAGCAAAACAATTCAAAAATACGATAGGCGTGCAAAGTACTGTCTAGGAAAGGTAAACAAATTACTTGAAAATAAACAAATACAATTAAACTTTTTAACCTACCACGTGAATAGCCAGGAAGCGGGCGCGTCCGTTTGAAATCGACGACGATTGATTGTTGGGGCTCGGGATAATTTCTGCGTCATCGCATGTGTAACAAGTTGCACTGACGTGAAGAAAGGTCATTGCCCGAAAAATTGCCCACTGTAGTCTTCGGTTTTTTTCGGTAATGTCACGTAGGTAAAAAATAAATAAAATAAAATAAATGAAAACTAAATTAAGTCACGATGCCATCTCTGAGTCACACTTAAGCGTTTGTGCTTTCGCTGCGTTGTCCCCACCTGAAGAAGGACGCTTGTGTTGCGCCCGAAACGTCGTGACTTAATTTAGTTTTATTTATTTTTTACCAACGTGACTTTACCGAAAAAAAAAACAGTATGGATCCTTGCAGTCACGAAAGCTTCAAATCTAGAATTATTGTCCATTGTAATTTTGCTCTTAAGGCCCAACAAGAGTGTTATTGCCGAACGTGTTGTGTTTATTTGTGCGTGCGTACGAACGGTAGATTTGTAACTGGCATATATATATACACATCTGTTGATATCACCGAATATCACTTGCAAATGACTTGCGGAGCGTTTGTTGCGTGATAATAATTAAATGAATTCATTCATGACCCGAATTGCTGCGTATAAAACAGCTAAAGGCGTAACGATGCATGCACGACATTTCCAGATGAATGTCGATTCTTAACACTCGTGACGCGTGCATCGAATCATGCGCGTGTCATGTTTTTTTTTGTTTAAAGCTTTGTAATTCTAACAGTTACCGTATTGTGTGCTTCACGTGGTAGCCCCCCTGTAGCCACTAGAGGTCCAATGTTCTCTGCAGCGTAACAGCAAAACGGCAGTACTGTGCTGTCCCGTTATGCCTCGCGATACGGTCTGTTCTCTTGTAGTGCGGTAGTTGCGTTCCTGAAGAACACCGCGTTAAGGAAACAATGGCTTTATAATAAACAATATATAATAATGGGGTAAAGCACAGTCCGTGATAACGCGTGAGATGCGTACGCAGGCCGAACAAAGACTCGAGGCGCGTGGGTGGCATCTAGAAGCATCCAGCAGCATCCCCAACGCCTCGTGTGAATCTACGCCGAGGCAGCCGCACAACCGCTTATTGCTAAGTGCGCGGCGTAATTCTGTTCACTCGATCGCGTTAAGGGGGTGGCCCCCCGTTGGTGAATTATGGTGAAACGCCTCTACATAACGTTAGCGACTCCCAGGGTATGCAGCTTAGCAGGAGTGCACGCTCATAGGACTCTGCTGTGCATCGCAGCAGTTACTAGTGCACAACAAGGGATTCATATTTATCTAGCATCTTAAATGCAACTGCTTCTCAAGACGCTTTACGCAAAGTGAGGGATACATTCGTAAAGCTTGTGGTTGTTTGAGGCGGTGGTGGTGGTGGTGGGGGGGGCATTAGGGCAGATCAACAATGGGAGAGAGCAGAGAGATGGCAACAGCGTTGAGGGCACAGCACGAGACCACGCAGCTGGGGCCAAGCGGCAACCACGCAACGGGCCCCAGGGGCTTCCGATAACTCCGAGGGCAGCCTCGGGGTGAAGGAAAGGCCACCAGCCTATCCAGCGCAATGCGATTGCGGTAAATCCCAAACCATCGAACGCATCGCCGACGATCGCACCATCCCTACGCACACCCTGGCGGTATTGCTGTAATCAGTACACAGTCTGCCACCGCCTTGGATTGGTTGAGCACCCTTAATGTTCAACTGTGACATCTATTCATAAGTTTGTTTTGGGGGGGGTTTAGATAGCGTACATATATATAAATGTGTCGTTAAACCCGCCACCACCCGACACAGCCAATTAGTAAGGTTTGTCAGGTAAACAAAACATGACAGTTCGTTCCTAGTACAGCACACCGGTGTGTTGGAGAGCCAAGCCAAAAATCTGGCTGTCGCCTGATGAAGCTAGTTGTAATTACTGGCGAAACGTCGTACTCAGATTGTAAATGTTGTGGCTTGGCTCTCCAACACACCGGTGTGCTGTACTAGTGACGAATTGGCACGTTCTGTTTACGTGACAACCCTTACTAGTTGGCTGTGTCGGGTGGTGGCGGGTTTCACGACACATTTATATATTTACGCGATCTCACAAAAAAACCTTTATTGTGGATGATATTGATCGCGACAGCCTAGTATGACATCTATAAAAACTGTTGCTTTCCACCGCCCCCTCCCCCCTGCATGCCGTGCGAAAGAAGATAAACGCAATGTCCATCCTACATATTCCCGCTGTGTATTTTGTGGAGGGAATGGTGTAAAGGGTGCACACTGGTCTCGATTCAATCTTCCTCCGTGGCAGAATGAAACAATGGTGCAAGTTGCTTGAATCCATGCCCTCTGCCTCCGTTTCGCCAAGCAGTGTTAATGGGTACACCCACGGTCAGTTGATCGGCAGGTCTAGTGCGGTGGGGTTAAATGTGGGTACCCCCCACACCTCTTTCAAGAAGGCTGGTAGCAAAACTGCACACACCGTATCTTGAAGCCCTCTCTCGTCTTGGCTAACAGACCTCAACGTTGGCACTTTAGCGTAGAAGAGTAGGCCAATTACCCTCCAGAGGGGCTCTCTGGAGCCCTTCCGCCAGCAGTGGTGTGAGCAAGCAATTGCAGGGCTGCACCTTTCCCCTCTTTACCGTGTTGTTTGTGTTTAGTGTTGGTGACCAACACTTTGGCAATGCCCTACGCGTTTTGCGGCTCTTTCTAGACAGTCTATGTACACTTGTTTTTTTTTTAAATCAGGTTTCAATCCAAAATTGGTCCAAAGCCGCGAATGGAAATCGGGTGAAATATTTGTGTGGTGATTATGTTGGAAGCTCGTGGTGCAGGTGTTTTGAGTGCAAAATAACCGCATTGTAAACCCGGCACTTGGGTTGCAAGTGCAAGCTGAAAGCGATCCTGGTATGAACATTTTACACATCGCGACGGTAAATTATACACTCTGAGTATATAATTAAGTATGTGTGCGACTCAATAAATTGCCATGATTCTGCATCATGTTTTGACCCAAAAACATATGTTTTGGTTCGTTTGTACCGTCTCATTTGTATTGTCTCGTATGTTCTTTCCTTCTGGCACTTTATACAGGACTGTTCCACGTTGTGGTCATAAAATGGCAATTTTGTACTGCACGTTTTATACTCCCAGACAGATTTGCTGCTTTACCTTCACCAAACCACACAGACACAACTCGCACATCGTCGGGAAGCACTCATCCAGCCACGGTGGTGTGATGTTGACTACCTCACCTGGTATGCAGGAGGGCATGGGATCGATCCCAACCTTGATGCCTGTATTTTTGGAGTTTGCATGTTCTCCCCGTGGTCGTGCGGATTTGTCTAAGGGTCATCCGGTTCCCCCCCCCCCCCCCCCCCACATTTAGAATCAACATGTTTTTCGAGTATTTGGCTGCTATAAATTTGCATGTGATGAACCACTTGCGTTGAGCTCTAATTTGTGGCCAGGTGGCTTGTGAAAAAGAGCTATATAGCTCGGTGGGCCTTACATGGTAAAATTAAAAAAATAGCTCATACTTAATTGATTAAAGGTCTATACAAGCACTTTAGCTTCATGAATCGCTGGTTAGGGAGGGCGCACGTGTGGCGTGTGTGCATTACGTGTGCACGCCTGTTGAACCTTCGCCGAAAAACACCCGCAACCGAGATGTTGTTTACAGTCAATGTGCGCTCGCGTTACCGATCGCCGGCGCCTGTCGCCACAGTGATGCATTCTACCCCGTTCATTCACCACGACGATAGCTGTGTTGTGAGCGGAGCCACCAAAGCGGAAAACTCAACGAGGACGAGCGGGGGATGGACGACGCCGAGGCCGCCAATGCCGACAAAGAACCGGATCGCGATGGGATGGCAGCCGCCGAGGCTTCCACGCCCAAGAAAAACCGATGTGGTATCGACTTCATGATGTTGCACTCATTTTTATTGTTTTTGGTCAATTCGCCCAACAATGCTGGAATGCCTAAAGCGGCACGAGTCTTGTTTGGTATGGTACGGTTCTCACTCTCGAATATCCGTGGGCAGCAGATTTAAAAAAAAAATTGGATTGCGTATTAACCGTGCTTGCGCAAAAAAAATAAGTCTTTGCGCGCGTTGGTTTAATTACTGGCTACTCCTCAATCGCCGAGGGTCAGCGACGAGTTGCCCACGTGACCGCAAACGCGTCGGCGAGTCACTGGACTGCTTTAGAAACCCAAAAAACAGACTTACGCGTTCAGCCGTCTTCTCCCCCGTTCTGCATAGGTAATCAATTCGGTACGTGTTCATAGCCTAATCTTTACACGCTTTGCTTTATCCATGTGTTATCTGAACCACCCCTCCACTACCCCGGATAATCAAGAGTTCACTGGATTTGTGAAGTGGGGTTTACCCCTGAATGTGCCCAATCCCGGCCGATTTCAAAGGCCAAGTAGAGTTGAGCCTGGTTAGTATCAGAATTTTTTTACTGATACTGAAGAGATTTTATGAGCTATAAAGCTCTATTTTCACAGAAGTCCAGTAGTATTTATTTAGCGTGTGCGTTTGAGACTAGGATACCGAGAGTTGCAGCTCGCAACATTTGGATGATAAAAAAAAACTATTTAAAACTATTAACATTTTTCCAGAAGTCACCTGGTCACAAATGATAGCTCAACGACACGGCTTATCACGTGGAAATTTATAGCAACCAAAGACTCAATAAAAAACCGGAGGACCCAGAGAAAAATCCACGTCACCATGGGGAGAGATTCGAACTCTAAATATACAGGTGTCAGGGTCGGGATCGAACCCACAACCTCCTGCATACCAGGCGAGGTAGTTAACATCTCACTGCCACCATGACGCCTATGGCCAGGTCACTTCTGAATCATTAACTGGGCTTGCCAGGTGTTGTACGCAGTGCGATGGCCAGGGAGATGTGAGAACAGGAACAGGTTTAGTCAAAAGATTAATTACATAGATTGTGCCTGTGGATTTAATCCATCTGCACAGAGCTTTGAGAGTTATTCCCTCGTATGGTTAGGACCCGAATGGGAGACTGTTGTGGGTAGACGAGATATTGTAGGAGTGGCTGGCGAGGTGTCCAGGACATATCGGCACAGTAAATGGATTCGTCAATCTATCCATGTGGATATTCGAGGAGAACACCCATACACGCTTGACGGATTTTCTCCAGGTCCTCTGGATTACTCCCGTATACCAAATACAGGGTGCCTCAAAAAAATGTTACCACTTCTGATCATTTGCAACAACACCACGTGACATGTGCTGCTGCCTCCGGGCTCTGGAGACCACCTGGAGAAGATTTTAGGCCACGCGTTGACAATGATGGCGAACAAGTGGAGACTCTGACTTTTTGAAGCGATTAACATACATTTGTTATGTTACAGTGTATTCGTTATTTTCCATTAAAAACGATAGTCCCAAATACGTTTTTTTTGAAGCACCCTGTACTTGTAAATGAAAATGGCCAAACAATCCAATGCAGCAGGACCCTCGAGAAAAAGAACCTCGATGCTCGGCGAGGCCTTTCCAGGGTGACAAATGGACATTATTATAATGATGTATTTGTAGTGCAAACTCTCACGCTAACCCAGTCATAGCACTCGCATGCTTTACATTTTTAAGTTGTATTTTTTTCTTTTCTTTGCAGCCTCAATTCGGAAATTTGTCAAATCTCCCCGGTTTTACATATTCCTCAGCCACTCCATGTCCACGTGGGTAAGACGATTCATGAATGTGGAAAACACACTTGACACAACTAAAAGTTTGCGCGTTCAAATACTGATGGAGAGATCAAGCAGACTTCACTCGGACATATAAAATGGTTAGCCACTTTGTGGGACGCCACCATTCCTTGTTCTATGGAAATAACTGAATCTGTTTCACATATATCTTGATTTAGCCCCCATTTTAAATCAAGGCCATATTAAATAAATGTGTAAAAATATCACAATGGTCATCTTATGGATAGTCTGGCCCCTGCTATACGAATGTGGACTTTCTCCTGCTGGGCTCAGAGCAAAAGTTGTCACGGAGTGCCGTCCAACACGGACGCTGATCGCCATGGATAGGTGGTGCGTCAAGGAGCATGGATAGGTGCCACCTCGAAATGTTCACCGAGCCACAGAAATAGAAGCAAGTATCATTCAGAAGCAAGTCAGAGACCTCATTTTGAGGACTCGGGAGAAGTGGCTCTGGAATAACAAAAATAAAACCTTTTTATTATACCAGGTAAGGTCCACTGAGCTACATAGCTCTTTTTCAGAAGCGACCTAGCCAGAAATGATAGCTCAGCGAAGTGGCTTATGTGGAAATTTATAGCGGCGGGATACTCTAAACGCATGTTTATAATTGTGGTAAGAAAAACTGGGGGACCTGGAGAAAAATCCACGCGACCACGGGGAGAACATGCATACTCCAAATACACAGGCGTCAGGGTCGGGATTGAACTCACGATCTTCTGTATACCGGGCGAGGCGGTCAACATCTCGCCACCGCAGTGCCTGTTCAGATATCACTCCCCATTAACGTTCGTCGTTGCCGGGAATCCGTCTCGGGGCACCGGGTTATTTGCGCATTTTACGGACCCGCACACCACCGCCGGTCCATCCCTTTGGAATCAAACATCAAGATGTTATCACGACCTACCACCACACTTCGTTTGCCAAAAAATATTACATTCCACTCTCCTGCCAGATCCCGCAGCTGCCGCGCAGTCAGCACATCGCTCGTCGGCTGAGCGCGTCCGAGCACGCTCGCGATCTGCTATCGTTTGCAGGGCGACCGCATGTGGCACTTCGCCATGAGCCTCTTCCTGGTGGAGCTCTACGACAAGTCCCTCTTCCTGGCGGCAGTCTACGGCCTCACGGCGTCCGGGTCCCACATCCTCCTGGGGGCCCTGGTGGGCGACTGGGTGGACAAAAACCCACGCATGCGCGGTGCGCCCCCCCCCCCTCCCCCCCCACCTCTTTTACCCTCATTGCCGCACTCCGCAACGCCACCTCGCCTTATGTTGCTCAAAAACAAATAAAAGGCTGCACGGTACACCGCGGCGGTGGCGGCGGTTGCACGAGCACATATTGCAACGTCTCGCACGTAAATAACGGTGCCCTATGCAGGAAAAAAAAAACGACATTTTGGGCAGTGGCCCTTCTTTGCCCTGCAACGAGTGCCAATTCAACACAATTATCGTTTTTCTGGCAGCAAACATTTGACGTTTTTTCTTGCCAATTTTTTTTTTCTAATTTTATCCCCGTTGTGCTGTCCCGCAGTTGTGCGTCTGTCCTTGAGCGTCCAGAACTCATCGGTAATTCTCTGCGCCTTGGTGCTGCTCACGATCTTCCTGTGTAAAGTCCAGATCAGCCCCGTGTGGAACGGCTGGCTCATGGTGAGTTCGCGTCCGTGGCGGGCGGTGACAACAAACCCAGCAACGTGACACGAGAGCAGATCCACGCATAGTGGCCAATAATTCTGCCTCGTCACCGCCCCCCCCCCCCCCCCCCCCCGCCTTTCTGCAGATACCATTGACAGGTAAATACGATTCCACACGTCCATATCCAGTTACCTGAGCTTCAGCGAATTTCTCACCTGGCCTCGGTTGCTGATGATCTTGGGCGCAACGGTGGAGAGATGTTAACTCCCTCGCCTGGTATACAGGAGGCTGTGGGTTTGATCCTGACCTCTGACACCTTTATATTTGGAGTTTGCATGTTCTCCCCGTGGTCGCGTGGATGATAAGCCACTATGTTGAGTTATCATTTGTGGCCAGGTCGCTTAGGAAGGAGAGCTATATAGCTCAGTGGGCCTTACCTGGTAAAATAAAAAAAATAGTTTTAGTAGTTTAGTTCTAATTATGAAGGTGCAACTGAACGAATGCCCTGTGGGTGGCTGTCGAGTGGCTTGCAAAATCGGAAGGTTTGCGGAGTTCATGCTATCTTCCCTCCAGGAGTCAATAAAATAATTACCACATTTGGGGGACAGGTATCCTATGTAGATGCCGTCGCCATTGGACGACTGATTAAAAAAATTTGCACGGCACAACCCTAAAATGCTAGACGCCACAATTATTTTGGATCCCGCGTCACGAGACACGCCGTAGTTTTTGCGAAGTCGCCGCAGCCCTACATACAAGGGGAACGCCAGACGCCCCCTGCGCTTGCCTCCACCGCCGCAGGTGATGTGCTACGTGGTGGTGATCACAATCGGGGTCGTGGCGCAGCTGGCCGGCACGGCCATGACCATCGCCATCCAGCGCGACTGGATCGTCGTGGTGGCCGACAGCAAGGAGAAGCTGGCAGGTCAGCGGGTGCACGTCTCTCCTGGGTCAGCAGGGTGGGTTCACGCACGCAGGACTTTAGGCAATGGACAATTAATCCTTTCCCGTTCCGAGACATCGCAGGGTGGGTCCCCGTTCACCACCGAATCTCGGAAGGCACGGGCAGTTCAGTGTCAATTTTATTTATAGGAGGTGCAGCACCGTTGTTTTTAAAGACATTGTACTTACAGCAGAGAACTGTAGCGACACGACCGCACTCTACGATAGCTGGCGCCAAACTGTGCCACGCGCCCTCTCCGCATGGCCTTGTGGGAGCCGCCCCTCAGTACCAATACAGTTATTTTATTTTATTCCCTTCCGAATTGGAAGAAAAACTGATGACGTACACTTACGTACGCGTACTTCATCGGAACGGGAAAAGGGTTAAGCACAGCTCTTGCGCGAAACGACAGTCTGCTGTATATATTTTATATATCTTTTTTCTATATTTTTTTTAAAAGACAGTGTCCACGACAAACATAGGTCGAGACTTTCTTGGTTGCATGTGCGCGGGCACCACTGCCAGTGCAAGTTGCTGAAAATAATGTTTTCTAGCACCAATATCAAATCGCCATTTCATCACCCTTGTCCAAACAAAGGGGGGGTGGGGGGGGTTACGCCTCTCTCCAGCCTCTCGCCTGGCTAAATTGCAGACGACGGATTTAAATGTTTATCGAGTGTAAATACGAACGCCTTTAAAATTTGGACCCAAGTGTATAATAAAAATAAAAATCACTCGCAGTGCTGTTTTACCATGTGTTTGGCATAGAATTTGTAACCCCCCCCCTCAATGGAGCCCTTTCTTCCAGTGTCCATGGACACAACTTCGCCTTTGTAACCCGCCATGCCGAGACTGCCCATTAATAAAACGTATACGTTCGTCTCCTTATATTTTATTTTTTTCCCCCAAAGGTGGAATGTTGTAGCGGTCAGTCAATGAAACTCCCGTCTTGTTCTTTAGCAGCATAGATTATATGCCAGAGGGCTCTGACCCAGCCAGACTGCAGGATAAACATTTCGGAGGACTCTTTGCTTAAGCTTGCTGGACCACCTTCCCTATTGTTTTGGCTTTTCCCCCACAATTCAGGGATATTAAAAATAAAGTACCATCTTTGTCTCGTCTCAGGAGAAGAAAGACAATTCCATTAGGAACCCTGCAACTAGCAGTGCGCCCTCACCCTGTGTAAGAATTTGGCTTACAGAAGATGACCTCACTGAACTACTTTCTCAGATCATTTCGATTTGGCCCCTATCCACAGCTGCTGATGCACTGCAGACGTTACGGCACAAACGTTGTGGCGCAAACGCCAAAGCTAATCTATCTAGCGCTGGTTTTTATCTACTACTTTTGGCCAATATATATTTTTTTATCAATTTGTCCATTATTCTCAAGGGGAGGTCCCCAATAGCAACTCAACTTTATTCCATACCACGTCATCTTTACGGGAGTTATCACACCACCGCTTTTTATCGACAGGCAGAACTCACGCTTGAACACTTTGAACCTCTATAGTAATAGGTTTTACCCTTTTGACTGGCACAAAAACTGACACCTTTATTCAAGGCATCATGTTTGCAATAACCACAACACAAGTAGTCAAAATGCAAACAAAAGAGATAACTCTGATAATAATATGCACTGTCATTGAATTTGATCGGTCCATACCCGAGACGGCTTTTCTTAGAGCCTAGTCTCCACTGGTGTTGGACCAGAAGACGCCAAAAGGCGTACAACTCAAAAACAGCGCACTATCAGAGTATTGAGGGCTCGGGGTGAGCATTTACATTATGAGACCTCCTTTGCCAGTAACAAGATATAGTAATAGGTTTTACCCTTTTGACTGGCACAAAAACTGACACCTTTATTCAAGGCATCACTTTGAACCTTTGTTTAGAAAGCATTAAAACACAAAACGTTGCCCCCCCACCACCACCCCCCATCGCACAGGCATGAACGCGACCATGCGGCAGATAGACCAGCTCAGCAAGCTGCTCGCACCCATGACGGTGGGGCAGGTGATGACCTTCCTCAGCCTGGAGTTCAGCTGCGGCGTCATCGCCGCTTGGAACTTGTTCTCCATGGTGGTGGAGTACCTGCTGCTGCGGCACGTGTTCCGCAGCGTGCCCGCTCTCGCTACCAAAGCCGCCGTCGCCGACGCCAACTCCAAGCGAGCGGGGGAGACCGAGGCCGCCGCTTGCGAACTGCATCCGCTGGCGGAAGGAGAAGGTAAGCAACGCGTCGCTGCTTCGCACCTCCGATTAACCCCCACGGTTGGCTCCGTACGGCTGCATGGCGTACTACCGGTAGTCGGCCTTCCTGGCAGGCCTGGGTCTGGCCTTCCTACAATGACGGTGTTGGCATTTCACAGTAATGCAGATGCGGAGGTGGGGGGGAGGGGGGCGGTTTTGCGGTTGTGCCCGTGCTACTCTGCGGTTTGTTTTCGGGTTGTACCGTAAACCCCCCCCCCCCCACCCCCCCCCCCCCCCCCCGACGTTTCGCTCCATATGATGGGAGCTTCGTCGGGAGCTGAACGATTCAGTTAATCTGTTGTATTTAAACAGCATTGCACTACTTTCATTACCTGCTGTATAACTTCTCCCTGAACCAGAAATCTGATTAATTAACATTGTGAACAATCACTACTTATCCAAAACCTATGGTCATTTATTTTTTATTACGTGGATTTAAATCAAATATATTTACCCGCCACAAATGTAGTTTGTTTTGGGGGTTTAACTAAATCAGATGCGTGATATGTGATATATCATCTATTGCACCATTGGATCATGAGACATTGCGATGGCTTGGAAGTAGGGGGGGGGGGGGGGGGGGGTGGGACTTCATCCAGCAGTGGATTGATCATGGCTGAAGATGATGAGAATAAATTATCTGCTTGGAAAGCCACACAAAGCACAACAATGTCTGGTAGGAGGACGCTACGCTTGCACGAGGATCCGCGGAAGCTGTTGCCGCGATTTAGCCTCGGGAACGACGCCGCCCTCCCCACCACCGTCCGCTTTGTCCTCAGATAACGAGGCCAACAACACCGAAGAAAAGCCTGCCATCGACAAGAGCTCCAAACCCCAAGTCGTTCCAAACACCAAGTCTGGCAGTTGGCTGGCGATTCTGGGGAAGCCCCTGCGCACGCTTCGCTATGGCTGGGTGGCCTACTACCGGCAGTCGGCCTTCCTGCCAGGCCTGGGCCTGGCCTTCCTCTACATGACTGTGTTGGGATTTGACGGCATCACCACGGGTTACGCGTACGCGCAGGTGAGGTCACGCAGTAGCAGTGGGAGAATTGATATTCCTTTCCTAATATAGGTTTTTGGGTTGTATCGCCTAACTATAAACGTATTGTTAAACCTGCCACCACCGAACACAGCCAATTAGTAAGGTTTGTAAACAAAACGCGCCAATCAGTTACTAGTTCAGCACACCGGTGTGTTGGAGAGTAAACCTGCGACATTTACAATTCGAGTACGACGTTTCGACAGTAATTAAGACCAGCATCATCAGACGACCATATCGTAATAATATTGGTCGCTAAAACCTACGTGCTAAACTGTCATTCCTTTGTTTAACCAGAATATAAAAGATTTAGATCCCAATGAGGCAGACGTGTGCTACATTGGACACTTTCAACAAGCGCCATTTGGGTTACATCAAATTAATTGGCAATTCTGCTTTGGCACATAGTGCACGAATAGAAAAAAATACAAATAACACTGCCTGAATAAGGAGGGGCGGGTGAGGGAGTAGGGGTGTGGAAGTAATGTGGGTTCCCAGCGAACAGAAACGAGTTCATGAGCCCAGACATTCCACTTGTCTGTACCACCTGAGGTGTTGGAACTTCAGCGGTTCCAATTGCTTTTATGTGGCCAGTGACGTTGCGTTGCGTGATAACCGCTTGAAATTTGTGGGCTAATAATTCACTCCTATTAGTCATACTCTTTGGTTCTTTCGGGAAAGTCATGTAGATATAAAATTAATAGATCACGACGTTTCGATCACAACACAAGCAACCGTCATCAGGAGAACTGCTGACGTCAGCAGTTCTCCTGCTGTGTTTGTTTCACCTGATGACGGTTGCCTGTGTTGCGATCGAAACGTCGTGATCTATTAATTTTATATCTACGTGACTTTACCGAAAGAACCAAAGAGTACCTATTGGTCATGTTAACACATTAATATTGCTTAAGATTTTGTCTACCTTAGCTGGTACCAATTTCTACTCTGCCTCGTGGCCTATATATATACAGTGAGGAAAAAAAAGTATTTTATCCTCTGCTGATTTTGTACGTTTGCCCACTGACAAAGAAATGATCAGTCTGTAATTTTAATGGTAGGTTTATTTGAACAGTGAGAGACAGAATAACAACAACAAAAATCCAGAAAAACGCATGTCAAAAATGTTATGAATTGATTTGCATTTTAATGAGGGAAATAAGTATTTGACCCCCTCTCAATCAGAACGATTTCTGACTCCCAGGTGTCTTTTATACAGGTAACGAGCTGAGATTAGGAGCACACTCTTAAAGGGAGTGCTCCTAATCTCAGCTTGTTACCTGTATAAAAGACACCTGTCCACAGAAGCAATCAATCAATCAGATTCCAAACTCTCCACCATGACCAAGACCAAAGAGCTCTCCAAGGATGTCAGAGACAAGATTGTAGACCTACACAAGGCTGGAATGGGCTACAAGACCATTGCCAAGCAGCTTGGTGAGAAGGTGACAACAGTTCATGCGATTATTCGCAAATGGAAGAAACACAAAAGAACTGTCAATCTCCCTCGGCCTGGGGCTCCATGCAAGATCTCACGTCGTGGAGTTGCAATGATCATGAGAACGGTGAGGAATCAGCCCAAAACTACACGGGAGGATCTTGTCAATGATGTCAAGGCAGCTGGGACCATAGTCACCAAGAAAGCAATTGGTAACACACTACGCCGTGAAGGACTGAAATCCTGCAGCGCCCGCAAGGTCCCCCTGCTCAAGAAAGCACATATACATGCCCGTCTGAAGTTTTCCAGTGAACATCTGAATGATTCAGAGGATAACTGGGTGAAAGTGTTGTGGTCAGATGAGACCAAAATGGAGCTCTTTGGCATCAACTCACCTCGCCGTGTTTGGAGGAGGAATGCTGCTTATAACCCCAAGAACACCATCCCCACCGTCAAACATGGAGGTGGAAACATTATGCTTTGGGGGTGTTTTTATGCTAAGGGGACAGGACAACTTCACCGCATCAAAGGGATGATGGACGGGGCCATGTACCGTCAAATCTTGGGTGAGAACCTCCTTCCCTCAGCCAGGGCATTGAAAATGGGTCGTGGATGGGTATTCCAGCATGACAATGACCCAAAACACACGGCCAAGGCAACAAAGGAGTGGCTCAAGAAGAAGCACATTAAGGTCCTGGAGTGGCCTAGCCAGTTTCCAGACCTTAATCCCATAGAAAATTTGCAGAGGGAGCTGAAGGTTCGAGTTGCCAAACGTCAGCCTCGAAACCTTAATGACTTGGAGAAGATCTGCAAAGAGGAGTGGGACAAAATCCCTCCTGAGATGTGTGCAAACCTGGTGGCCAACTACAAGAAACGTCTGACCTCTGTGATTGCCAACAAGGGTTTTGCCACCAAGTACTAAGTCATGTTTTGCAGAGGGGTCAAATACTTATTTCCCTCGTTAAAATGCAAATCAATTTATACCATTTTTGACATGCGTTTTTCTGGATTTTGTTGTTATTCTGTCTGTCACTGTTCAAATAAACCTGCCATTAAAATTATAGACTGATCATTTCTTTGTCAGTGGGCAAACGTATAAAATCAGCAGGGGATCAAATACTTTTTTCCGTCACTGTAGCATGGCCCCACATTTCTCTGCATAAGCCCACCCAAAAGGGTGGGTGTGCCGTGTCATGCCGCCCCGGTGCATTCCTGCCATGTCAAGAGAACTCTGAAACCGGTCCGACCCAAAATCTAAAAGTGGACAAACACCATGGGCAAAAATAGCTGCAGACGCCAAACTGCGTAATGGCCTAAAAACGCCCGATTTTAAAAACGGCAAAGATAAAGATCGAGAAAGTGTCAATTTATCACTTTAACTTAAACATTTAACAACCTTGCAAGTAAGCTCCGGGATGTGCGGAATTACAATCTCGCGGCTTACAACGTTACATTTTTTGCGCCTATATTCCAGCGATACAATGTGGGTTTACTGAGCAGCGCCATTTGATCGTGACTGTCGACGGTCATTATGACGATGATGACGACGACCACGACGACGATGACGACGGCGGCGAACGTTGATGAACGTTGATGAACGTTGTTACTGTTCCCGTCCCGCCATCTCGCCGGCGCTGCCGCGGGCAGGGCGTGAGCACCTCGGTGCTGAGCATCATGGTGGGGCTGTCGGCCACTCTGGGGCTGGTGGGCACCGTGCTCTACCTGCGTGCGCGGCGCCGCTGCGGCCTGGTGCGCACCGGCGCGCTCTTCAGCCTGGCGCAGGTCTGCTGCCTCCTGCTGTGCGTCATGTCGGTGTTCGCGCCGGGCAGCCCGCTCGACCTGACTGCCCCGCTGCACAAGCCGCGCCTGGTGAGACTGGTCAGGCCGCCGCCGCCACCACCACGATGATGACGACGATGATGATGAAGATGACGTCGCTGTTAACAGCGCCGTCACTGTTAGTAGCGCTGTTTCCCCGCACCTCCGATTAGCATGGTTGGCTACGTGCGGTGCGAAAGAAATTCAACATACATAGGCCCACACACACACACAAAGACAATGAATGATGTCATTGTGATGGCTGTAGTCATCTATCAAGACAGAGATCAGCAGCCCCCCCCTTCCCCTCCCATATAGCCTCTAACAGACTGTTGGGCCTATGGAGGCCAACACGGCACAAGAGGGCGCAGTGTTGGGCAATACTACGTCTGGCCGCACAAGGTACTTTATTCAAGGCTGAGTCGACCTAGGGGAGGCCCGTGACAGGTCCAGATATTCGTCACCGAGTGGGAACGGAACTCAGCTCACCAGGTTCGTAGCGCAGTGCTCTGACCACTAAATTATGGCCCACACGCACACACAAATTCACGTGGCATGACTGCTGAGGCTGCGCGCATCTCTGTAAATAGGCATATACCAATACCCAGGGATGGAATGTTGCTTTTGTCTATTGTGCATTTTGCTCTAGCTCCCACCCACCCACCCCACCCTGAAACTCCTCTCCGATGGGGCTATTGTAGCTTCTCCATCCCGGGACTGACAGCCACACTCGCGCACCGCGCCGTGCGATTTTCTTTGTGTGTACAACAGGATCATCATGCAGCCGAGCCCACGGTTGCTTACGAGGCAAACGGGACCTGGTTTCAAAACGTCACGACAAACGGCACCGCCACCGTTCAGCCACAGATCCTCGACTACACCTCGATTTCGCTCTTCTTTGCCGGAGCCATCCTGTCCAGAGTTGGTACGTTGAGCAACGCTTGAATGTACGTATGTCGAAGCTTCTTTTGCACCGTACGTAGCCAAGCGCCCGAATCGGAGGTGCGGCCGAAGGACAACAAAACACAAGAAGCAGTTCTAAAGACATGAGTTTTCAATTTAGATTTAATAGTGCATATCTCCAGTGGCTTCCTAATATCGGAATTAAGCGCAATCCAGACGGCCGCAGAAGCGCGTCTGAAAGCGCGCGATGCGGCGACCGTCTTTCTTTGACGGCCAGCCAACATGTGCTGCTGCTGCTGTGAGGATGACCGTGAGAGTTCGCATGGTGGTTTATGCCCCTTGACGAGATCAGCCAAAATTGTATGGCAAGGCTCGCTTAAAAGCTAAAATAGGTGTCGACAACAAATGGTGTAAAACCCTTGGATATAATCGCTCCAAGGGAATAGGTCTGCTGCGAGAGTTAAACATCCAGGGCACAAATGGACAATTCAACATTATGGTGGGACCCCGGGGTCCCATAGGCCCCCGGCTCTCGCATAAACTGCTTTGCGACGTCTTTTTACGTCTGTTGAAGGCGAACGACACGGCGATCTATTCCTCTCGACGAGCTCTACACGATGCGCTAATCAAAGTTTTGTTTCTTCTGCGCATTTGTCCTCGCTGCTGCGCTTGGACACGACATGACAACAGAATGATCCGCGCCGGGTGGGTCGCGGTGGGACGGAGTCGCCAAAAATAAAGAGATTACGATTTCGTTTATTCGGGACCTTCGGGGTCCCGCCATAACGACTCGACGTTGGTGCAAGGAACGCGTGTTGTATGCATTGTGTCTGCGTGACCACAAGAGGCCGCCAAAGCGTAACAAACACAATTGATTCTCATACTGAATTACGACAATGACATTGTGATGTGGGGGGTATGAATCATTACTCCCTTGAAAAAAGAAATAAACAATCGGACCAGCCTCATTTCGTTCCTCAGTACGGAGCTGAACTTTCGTCTGCGTTGTCCTTCTGGACCGAACAAAAACCAAGGTGCAGGGGCTGTACCTTTGTTTTCCCAGCCGATGAGAACTCTTTATCAGCCAGGAGAGAATGTTACCTTGATACGCAATTTCAACCTCTGCGGAGGTGGCCGGGTATCTCAGGAGGTCAAGGACTTTGAACGGGCACCGCTTAGATCTTGGGTTAAAATTAGTTTTTATAGTTTTTGGCCACTCGTCATTAAACTGGGCTTTCTATTGTCACTTGTCGAGTCTCAGTCCAGGTCACCAGCGACTTGCACGCTTGTAAAACAACCCCCTCCCTCCCTGTTACATTAGAGTTGTGATCTTTTACTCAATTTCGGAAGATTGCAACTCGGAAAATATTAAATGTTGGTTCGATTGCCATTTTGGGTTTTAACTGCCACGTGGCATTTCCATTGCAGAGCATCTGGAGAACTTGCAGTGCTCCTAAGTGTGACTGAGAGGTCACTATAAAAAAAAGTAATTTCAAAAGGTAGTTATGAGATGCCATCGTCTTCTGCAGGCACGTTATCTAACACAAGGTGTTCCGCTGCACTGCTTTGCAAGAGGTCCCGATGGACACTTTATGATCGATTATCCATCGACGTGATGCTCAATGCATAATTTGGAGAGATAGAAAAGTTACAAAAATTTTAGATAATTATAATTTTACCACGAAAAATACCACAAGAGAGCATGTGGCGGATAGGGATCAGCTGCTTATTCTAACCCTCAAGAGCACTGAATTAAACAGGAATGCTTTTATTATTCTCCATTACCCTGATCGTCATCTAGGATGTGTTCAAGAGATGCTCATGTGGCTCAATAATTACTGTTTACCATTATTGCTGTGCTGCCACAGCGCAACGATGCAGGTGAAAACTATTTCAAGAGAGCACGTGGTTGTGCTTCAGAATTTATTACGGGTTTGGAATCCTTTGAAGTGTTGACCCAAAGCAGTACTGCAGTTCGTCCGCTGGACGGTGGCTTGTGTGGAGATCCATGCTTGTGGTTTCCGTTCAGGTGCAGCGGCTGGCGGGCCAAGTGGTCAGACTGTGCGACTTGTGATCGGCTTGCAGTGCGTGTTCTTTGGCACTATGTTCGACGGTTCGCTGGGGGATTTTTCAGGAACCGAACCCACATGATCAGAGTGCTATGCAGCACAACCTCCGTGAACCTGTTGCAAAGTGTGGGCACTTTCAGTAATAACCCCAAGGAGGGACCACCTTCCTTGGTAAGACTTGGGTTGAGCGGCAGTGGTTTAGTGGTTATCGCACTGCACTGTGAACCCAGAGACCTGAGTTTGATTCCCAGGTTCAGTTTCATTTATTTGGTATAGCCCTGTGAGCCATTCGGCTCTTGAATCGGGTGCAACCGCAACAAACAAAAAACAAGAAAACATCTTAAAGTGACTGTGACTTTGTACAAACAGAAAATCCAAGAAAAAAGACAGCAAAATATTGCAGAAAAAGCACCGTACACCAACGCTGTGTGCAAAAATCCCAGTGGGATGCAAGTCAAACAACAACCACAAGGCAACTTAGATTAAGGCCATCAGTCTAACTCCGTACTACAACAAACAAACATGACCAAACCAGTCATGGCTAACAGCACCAGTGAGTGATAGCTGAACCTTGGACGCCCATCTGCCTGCCCGCCTGCCCGCCCCCACTTCATCCAACCTTCACTGACCAACGTGGTGAAGTATGGTCAAACCCCCACGATATTTGGTCAACCGAATAATTGATCATTTTACTAAAAAACTAGTGATTATTTTCTTGAGAGGTTATTCTTATTGTGCAAATAATGGGGTAAAGAAGCCACTCCTGCTAGTGCTTTGATGATTTCCAAAACAAAACAAGGGGCATAGCAGGTTAAGCGGAATGCTTTTGAAGGTGGCACTGTTCATTCATGTTCCGGAAGGACATGGGGCCAGAACCCAGGCCTATCAATAAACCATTAAATCACAAAATATGGTGACAAAAGACAAAAACATCTCACATTCGTCAAAAACACTGTGGCCTTAAAACGTATTCAATGGGTGACGCTTTGGGCAATGGGCGACGTTTCGGGCAATGGCCTTTCTTCACAGCACACGTAAACAAGCCAGAGAGGTAGTGGCATCAGTCATCAAATTACACCATCTGCACCCGGCTGGGCTGTGTACACCGCGTGGCATCGGAGAGAGGGGCGCAGCAGGCCTTCACCGTGAGGCGCCACGGTGGCAGAGATGTTAACTACCTCGCTTGGTATACAGGAGGTCGTAGGTTCGATTTCCAACCCTGACGCCGGTGTATTGAAAGAGTTTGCGGGTCCTCCATTTTATTCCCCACAGATTTAGAATCAACATCATGCACTTAACAGTATGTGGCTGCTATACTTTTCCACGATGATGAACTGCTCCGTTAGGCCATGTTTCGTGGCCAGGTCGCTTCTGAAAGAGCTATATTATAGCTCAGTGGGGCCTGGCAAAATAAAAAAAAAATTGTTTAGTTTTTAATAGTTTATAGTTTAAACGATTTGGTATGTGCCCATGGAACAGAGGCGCAATAGTGTCTCGGAACTCGCATCAGACCTTTCACCTCCTTTTGTCCGCCCTCGCGCGCAGGCCTGTGGGGCTTCGACCTGTCGGTGACGCAGATCTTCCAGGAGACGGTGGCGGAGAGCGAGCGCGGCGTCGTCACGGGCGTGCAAAGCTCGCTCAATAGCCTCCTCAACGTGCTGCGCTTCATCATGGTCATGGTGGCGCCCAGCGTGCACCACTTCGGCGCTCTCATCCTCGTGTCCGTGGCGTTCGTCACGGCCGGCGGCCTCCTCTACGCGCACTACGCCGTGCGCACGCTGGGCCCCGGCGGCCTCTGCGCCTGCGGCACGCCGCCGCCGGCGCTCGACGGGCCGAGCGGCGGGCCGGCGGGCGAGCGGGCCGGCGGGGAGGGGGGCGAGCGGCGCGGCGAGGGCGACGGGAAGAAGCGGATGTGAGGGGCCGTTGCCTGTGCGGCCCGTTAACGGCGTTGCCCGCGGTCACTGGAAACGCGTTGCCGGCGGGAGCATTGCCTTTTGGCGGATGAGAGGAATGGCCTCCGGGAGTTGCTAGCGACGTTTGCCTGTAGCCAGTGAGAGCGCTGCCTTTGGCCGGTTGGGGACTGTTGGCCGTGGCCGTCGTAAGCGTTGGCCCCATGTGCTTGCCGGGAGCATTCCCTGTGGTCGTCGCCTTTGGCCAGGGAAAGCGTTGCCTGCGGCACGTGGCGATTTTGCTTGTAGCTACCGGGGGAAGTCGACTGGGATCATTCCCTGTGGCCGATGGGAGCGTTGCCTCTGACCGGCGGGGAAGTGTTGCCACCTTTAGCAGGCATCAGCATTGCTTGAGCCTGTTGGGAGCATCACCTGTGGCCGGTGGCAGTGGTTTCCTTTACAGTGAGGGAAAAAAGTATTTGATCCCCTGCTGATTTTGTACGTTTTCCCACTGACAAAGAAATGATCAGTCTATAATTTTAATGGTAGGTGTATTTGAACAGTGAGAGACAGAATAACAACAACAAAAATCCAGAAAAACGCATGTCAAAAATGTTATGAATTGATTTGCATTTTAATGAGGGAAATAAGTATTTGACCCCTCTGCAAAACATGACTTAGTACTTGGTGGCAAAACCCTTGTTGGCAATCACAGAGGTCAGACGTTTCTTGTAGTTGGCCACCAGGTTTGCACACATCTCAGGAGGGATTTTGTCCCACTCCTCTTTGCAGATCTTCTTCAAGTCATTAAGGTTTCGAGGCTGACGTTTGGCAACTCGAACCTTCAGCTCCCTCCACAGATTTCCTATGGGATTAAGGTCTGGAGACTGGCTAGGCCACTCCAGGACCTTAATGTGCTTCTTCTTGAGCCACTCCTTTGTTGCCTTGGCCGTGTGTTTTGGGTCATTGTTATGCTGGAATACCCATCCACGACCCATTTCAATGCCCTGGCTGAGGGAAGGAGGTTCTCACCCAAGATTTGACGGTACATGGCCCTGTCCATCGTCCCTTTAATGCGGTGAAGTTGTCCTGTCCCCTTAGCAGAAAAACACCCCCAAAGCATAATGTTTCCACCTCCATGTTTGACGGTGGGGATGGTGTTCTTGGGGTCATAGGCAGCATTCCTCCTCCTCTAAACACGGCGTGTTGAGTTGATGCCAAAGAGCTCCATTTTGGTCTCATCTGACCACAACACTTTCACCCAGTTGTCCTCTGAATCATTCAGATGTTCATTGGCAAACTTCAGACGGGCATGTATATGTGCTTTCTTGAGCAGGGGGACCTTGCGGGTGCTGCAGGATTTCAGTCCCTCACGGCGTAGTGTTACCAATTGTTTTCTTGGTGACTATGGTCCCAGCTGCCTTGAGATCATTGACAAGATCCTCCTGTGCAGTTCTGGGCTGATTCCTCACCGTTCTTATGATCATTGCAACTCCACGAGGTGAGATCTTGCATGGAGCCCCAGGCCGAGGGAGATTGACTGTTCTTTTGTGTTTCTTCCATTTGCGAATAATCGCACCAACTGTTGTCACCTTCTCACCAAGCTGCTTGGCAATGGTCTTGTAGCCCATTCCAGCCTTGTGTAGGTCTACAATCTTGTCCCTGACATCCTTGGAGAGCTCTTTGGTCTTGGCCATGGTGGAGAGTTTGGAATCTGATTGATTGATTGCTTCTGTGGACAGGTGTCTTTTATACAGGTAACAAGCTTAGGTTAGGAGCACTCCCTTTAAGAGTGTGCTCCTAATCTCAGCTCGTTACCTGTATAAAAGACACCTGGGAGCCAGAAATATTTCTCATTGAGAGGGGGTCAAATACTTATTTCCCTCATTAAAATGCAAATCAATTTATAACATTTTTGACATGCGTTTTTCTGGACTTTTTTGTTGTTATTCTGTCTCTCACTTTTTTTCTTCTTTGGTTCTTTCGGTAAAGTCACGTAGAATGAGAATAAAATAATGAAATAAAACAATTAAATTCTCACGACGTTTCGGCCACAACAAATCGAAATTTAACTGTCTCTCATTGTTCAAATAAACCTACCATTAAAATTATAGACTGATCATTTCTTTGTCAGTGGGCAAACGTACACAATCAGCAGGGGATCAAATACTTTTTTCCCTCACTGTACCTCATGGGAACATTGCGAATGGACAGTCGGAGCGTTTGCCAGTGGCCGGTAAGAGGTGTTGCCTACGTTCACGACAGGAGTCGTTCCTTGCGAGTTGCTGGCGGATCGTATGGCAAAGCGGCCACTGTCACTACTTGACCCTGCGAAATGCATTTGTATATGCCACCATGCCCCTCTTTCCAATGAGGTCACCCTGCTCTCATCCGAGTGTAAACTAAATCAAACTTAAGAGTCAATTTGGGTATTGTAAGCCTGTGTGCCCTGCTTTGTACAGAGCAGAGGGACACTTTAAATAGCCCTGAGCAGGTAGCAAGCATTAGGTTTGGCCGTTAAAAGCACTCGATGACTTTACTTTATCCCCAACTTTCGTGCACTTGTCGAGGGGAGGTTGGTCGACACTTGACCACGCCGCTCGGTCTGGGCTTGTGATGTAGACATTTGGGGCATTGCAACTTGTTTTGGGTCATTGGTGTTCTTTTTCCGGAGGTTTGTCCCAATAACTGTACTCGGCTGTCCTAGTACTCTCTCTCTCTCCACGGTCTTCGTGTCATCGCCATCTCCACAGTGCCTCTGCCACGCGCTCTTCTGTAACTCTGCACTCTCTTTCCACCAATGCTGTCTTCCGACCCTCCTGGCCACACGTCCAAAACATCTCGGTCTATTCTCACCCCCACCTTCTCCTCTGTCCACGACATCGTCGAGTCACATCATTGGAAAGCGTGGAGCCTCATCGTCGTCGTCGTCATCTTCGTCGTCATCTTCATTCAAGTTCTCTCCTTTGACAGCCTTTTTTGTGGGCGTCCTGTCCAATCCCGCTTACTCTTCTTGACTGTCATTTTAACGTCTCCAATTTGGTTTTTATTTGTTCCCATATCCACGTGCAACTCGTCCTGTCAGTGCAATCGTAGTAGTTCGCTTCTCCAAGCTTCTGTGCCCAATTTGAGCTTTTGACCCATTCGGAAGCTTCACCCACGGTCTGGGTGAGGGGCTCTCTGGTGTTCCCTTTTAGTGGAGGCCCTCCTGCCCAGCAGTGGCGCGATCAGGGCACTTACCTCGACTTGCAATCGACAACTTGCCTATCTCTCACTAGGCTGCCTTTGACCACTGTGCCCACTCGCACGCGAACTAGCCAGGTTACTCAACGTTTCAACTGTTGAGCAAATTATCCTCGCTCGTTCTTGCTGTGTGGCTTGGATAATTTTGGCGAAAAAATTTACGGTGCTCAATTCTGAAAATTTTTGCTGCTAATCCGATCATGCCAGTGTCGAAGAGATCAGTGCTGGCGTGAGGTGCTCATCGCTCCTACGCAGGGGTGTAAATACCCGTCGATTGATATCGACTTAAGCTCACGACGCGTAGAAATATATTTCTATTAGGATATTTTGTTGCGCGTATAAAATGGGGTCATGTGATCCTTCCAGCCACTAGAGGCCGCTGCGTTAACAATAAGAGAATCGATTCTTGATTTGAATAACGTCCCTGAATTATAATCCATTGAAATGTGAGGGGGTGGGGGGATTGTGGCTGCCCTACTCATACGAATATATTATTTAGTTGGGGGTGGCTCGGTGATTCAAGAGGTCAAAGCACTGAGCCGCCACTGCCGAGGTTCTGGCTTCCCATCCTGGCAGTCGCCGCAAATTCCATCATTTGAGAATTAAAGTAATCATTGTGCTAACCTCCTCCGTCTTGAGGTCACTCGGAGGGATCTCGCCGGGCAGCTCTGCGACATCCACTTCTGTGGGCCGTTCTCGAACACGACAAGAGGGGGGCTGCACCACTGTGCGAGAGATCCGAATGCTGATCCATCGGCTCGTGGCGTGACAGCTAAGAGCACAATCAGGGTAAAATAGTAACGGGAGGTGGGGGGGGAATAACACTCACAAAAATAGAAAAAAGGCGTATTAAATCAAGAATGATTCTTGCATACTTTTTTCATGTTTTCTTTTTAATGCTATTATTACTGTATGTAGATTGATAACTTTTTTTTAAAGTGGGACCAGTGGAACCAAAGCAAAACACTGCACGGTGGATTTGTATAAAACGCACAATACGGTATACGTTTGTTGGTTTTGTTGATACAATAAGAACGTTTCCTTGATCATATGTTCGTGAGCTTTCCAGCGCTGCTGGTGTGAACGCTGTCCGGGCTTGTTACTCTTTTAAACATCCTACTTCCAGGCATGACTGCATCGACAACATTTGTTAGCGGATATGCAATGCAGCCCTGGCTATGACTGCGGATGCAATAACTAGAAATACTTCGCACTGTCCGCTTCAAATAGCGGACGTTAAAAATCCCGTGGCATTATTAATAATACATACTCTTTGGTTCTTTCGGTAAAGTCACGTAGGTATAAAATAAAATAATTATACCCACGTGACTTTACCGAAAGAACCAAAGAGTATGGGATTCCTGCAGTCACGAAAGCTTCAAATCAAGATTATTAATAAAAACAATTTTAAAGAGCAGGCCGTGTGTGCGCGCGCCCGTCATGGAGCAAATTTCGAAACCCTCATTGTGTCATCACGCCCTTTCTGGCAGATTGTTCTGCGTCTGTGAAGCACCAGCGCCCTTTCCACTATAGCCTCGTGCTGTAAACAGCGGTGGCCAATGCATGACTCAGGATCCGTAGATGTGGCTTTACGAAAAATATTTGTTGCGAATCCCAGGACAAAACGGAACGAAGGCTAGCATAAAGCATACGTATGCACGTACAAACAATGTTCATTATGGCCGATGGGAAATATAAATATAAAAAAAAATCCCCGACTAAAAATAATATCTCCTTGCCAATCGAAGGTACTGGAGAACTTTGGTCCAAAGTATATTGCAGTCAAATCCTTCCAGCAATTGTTGGCCACAAATGGATCACAGTGCCTGGTGTATTGGCCACTGCTGTACTATACGAAGGGTGGAAATGCCGAATACTGTTATATAAGAGAATAGTTTTTCATGAATGTATTCACGTGTTACCGATGCTGGAATGTGAATTGATTGTTTATTAGCTATAGGGGTGTATCGATGCATCGATTAAATTGACGATTCTTGAAGACTGACGATAGGCGGTTCTCGAAGCACGCGTGCAAAAATGAAAGTTGTATCTTTGCGCGTGTCGTCCTTAATGGAATCACATAACACCCCCCCCCCCCCCCCCCCAGCCACTAGAGACGGCTACTTTCACCATCACGTAAAAAAAACAATCTAATCGTGCCCCGTGTTGCAATAATCGAATCACAACGTGGGGCTCGAAGTAATTAGTACACTTATGACATATAACATCAGTAGCCGTGCGTGTGTGTGCGCGTAAGTGATGTTCTCATCAACGCAATCTGAACGCCACCTAGCTGTGTAATACATGTAGCGGAGGATGTTGACCGTTTTTGAAAACT